CTGGTTACTCAAAGATGCCACCAAGCATTTGTGTGCATTTTTTAATACGGTTACACTCATGGGGTGGCTGTAGCTCAGCAGGTCATCTGCTGATCAGAAGGATGGTGGTTAAATCCATAAGAATGGTTGGGCCGAGAACTGCAGGAGGTGAGATTTAGCTGTGGCGGTGATGTGAATGAGGAGGGACTCAAGGAGTTGGGTCACTGCTGCTACTGCTGCTGCTGCAACGTGGGAAGGCTTGTCCACTGCTACTGTGATGTGGAAAGGATTTCCTGCTGCTACTGCTGCGAGGTGGAGGAATTGGGAATGTGGAGGTGATGAACAGGGCTTGGAGCGTCTCCTTAGCCTGGGTCAGAGAATGGGCAAACTCCAAAGCCACAGAGAGTTGGTGCAGGTGATGATTTTCCCAGAAAATGGGCCCTGGATGACTCCTCTTTCAGTGGGATATCAGCAGAGTTAAGGATGATACTGCAAAAACTCAATACTAACACACCTCAATCTGTTAGGATCAACACCATCACATGTTTATCCATCCTTTATCTACAACACTGGCTCCCCTCAGGGCTGATTCCTCAGCTCATTTCTCTAAACCCTGCTCACACATGACTGCAAAGCCAATTTCAGCAATAACCTCATAGTGAAGTTTGCAGATGACACAGCAGTGGTGTGGTCGGCTCCTCAAGTCAGTGAGACTCACAAACAGCTTCTTCCTCTGGTCCATTCAGATCGTCAACAACACTACCCCACCCACCTCACCAATCTGAGCCATGGTTTGAGTAGCCCCCATCACTCAGGCCAATCACACACAGGCCACTCTATTCAGTCTTCTCTTTGCACCACTTCCAAGCATTTTGCATCCTGTTTTGTAATGTGGGCCTATTCTCTCTCTCATTTTTGGATACATTCTCTTGTTTTGTATACTTTATATCCCACTTGATTGTATTTATTTCTCCTGTTTTATATTTCTTCCTGCTGTCTACTATTTCTATTTTGTTTCAGCACAGTTGGTGTGGACACCCAGAATTTCGTTGTACATGTACAACAACAATAAAGGGCTATTCTTTTCTTTTGTTCCTTGTTTGTCCTTGTTGTTTTTGGTTTTACTGGTGTTCATTTGACACTGCATTTACCTTGTGATGTACAGGAGTGTTGCTTTTATCTTGACATTAGTACTCATCATTTTGAATTCTTTCTTTTCTAAACTGCTCATATTTTAATATTACTATTAGTGGACATTTTAAAAATAAAATAGGCCATTTAATTAATTTGCCTATTTGTAGTTTTTTTGTGCATGTGTTCATCTTCATCTACTTATGAGCAGTGTGCATGATTTGGTGTTTGTGTTTAGGAGATATATATAAAATCTTTAATCTATCCAAGCTGTCTCAGGGCGAGAGGCAGGGTGCACCCATAGACAGGTTGCCAGTCTGCTGCAGGGCTAATACAGAGAGACAGACCACCATTCAAATTCACATTCAAACCTATGGGCAATTTAAAATCACCATTTAGCCTAACCCCAGTCTTCTAAGTATTTATTTACTGCAATCTGAATCAAGAAATGCAAGAACTTGACTGACGCAGAGTGGGAATAGACAAACCTTGTTTAGCAAAGCTGCATTACAACGAGGACTTTTTAACCAAACTTTACACATGCAGGGATGGAACAATCAAGACCAGCTTTTTCATTTAGTTAAGAACATTTTTATTTATATAATTCTTTCCAAGATAAATATCACAAAGAGCTTCAGAACAAAAACAGTAAAAAACAAAAAGGGACAAAAGGTTTCCCCCAAAAGTTTTTGTTTTTTAGCTGCTTTGTAAAAAAACAGCACAGATGAGTCCACAGGTCACAGGCTCAGTGGGAAAGAGTTCCAGAGTCACTGTGGTAAAAGCTTTAGTTCTCTGATCACAGGGATCTGCTCGGGCTGCATCGGTGTCGAAGTTAAATTGTTTTTTTTTGTTTTTTAATATAGCACTTTTTTTTCTAGACTGGAGAAACATCATCATATCAGTGATAAAAAAAAAGTTCTTAAAGGTGCTCAAAATGTGCTGAAAAGGGAGAAGATTTAACAAATACAATAAAAGCCCCCAGGTGGAACGTTATGGCACATTATAGGCAAGAGAGGTGGAAGAGGACCTGTACTGGGAAACAACACAGGAAAGGACTGTTCAGACAGATATAAGGAGAACCAATCCAAAGCAGACCCAGATACAAGCACCACGCATGTAGTAGTCAGCAGTTCAAAGGGCAGAGGTCAGGTCAAACAAAACAGAACATTCTTCTTCATCATTGGATCAAAGGAGGAAGACCTGTTCCAGTTAAATGAGCTTGATTAAAGACGGACTGAAAATGATCCAGAAAGCTGTATTTGTCCAAAACAGCTGTAAGCTTTTAGCCACACCCTTCTCTAACATCTTTGCATAAAAAATACTTTTAGATTGGCCTGTAAATGAGAGAAACTTGTTAAGCTTGTTTTTCTGTTTGCTTTTTAAAGTAAATGTATGAATGAGTTGAGCTCAACAAATGCTCCACTTTTTGACAAGAACACTTTAAACTGCAAATCCTGTCATTTGTCTAAAGTAAAGATTTTGAAACAGGAGCTGACCTCACTGTAACACGATATATGTTATCTGAAATGGAAAGAAGATCGTAAAACCACTGTTGGTCATTGTGAAGGAATAAGACTGTTCAAAAGCAGGGAATTTCACAGCCGCACAGGAATGTAAGACGCGAGCGCTAACCACACAGTAACATGATGATCACAAATAAAGATGTCCCCAGAACAAATACAGTCCTTATTAAATGTAAATAATAAAAGTAAAAACCAGGTCCAGTGTGTTTCCTTTGGTATATGTGAGGCCAGACAAATGTTGGGTGAAATAAAAATCGCAGGTTCCTACAAAACTGCAAAAAATATATATCTGATGTGGAATTTATCAGAGTACTTGATGGGCAACACAAATATACCCTGAGAAAAAAGAAGCATATTAGCAGGTGCCCTTTCCAAGAGTTGAGGTGTTGTAACTAAAATAGTTACCATCATCAGGCGAGAACGCTGAATCAAAATATTTTGATTTTTGATTTATCAGTAGCAGAACAATCTTCCATTTAGTCTGAGTGCTGGATTTCTATTTTCCTCTCAGAGGCAAGAACTTTCCACATGTAGGGAACCTTGCTCAGAAGATGCTGGCTCTCTTTCGTTCAACCTTTTTATGTAAACAAACATTTTTCAGAGATAAAGTTTAACAAATCCATACACTGAGATACTGAAGACATTCAATCTGTCTTTAATACACATTTTCAAGCCCAAAATAGCCTAGATCTTTCTCACTCATTTTGTTCACAATTGTTTTGGAAATATTGATCAAATAATGATTAAATGTTGGCATTTTTACTCGTGAAATCTAAATTAAACAATTAAAAATTTATAATGAAATAAATATTGAGCAGGCTTGAGTTTAGTTATTGGTGTGGCCCTCTTATGTCTTGTGTGTTCTTATACCTTTATAAAATGAATTACTTACCCCCATCTATGGTGTATAATGGTGACAAAGTCATTGAACATACGCTACATTTTAGTCTAGGTTAAGCTTTAGAGCTGTTAGTTATCTAAAGTGTTACCTTAGATAAATGAGTATACTGACTGCGGGCATGGGCTGTTGAATGATTCTTATGTGCACATCTCATAAACATGAGAGTAACTTTTTGTGCACACCTATTTCAGCTAAGAATATTTGTTCACACATATTAGTGAATGAGGCCCAAAAACCTTAGAATAGATTCAAGTGTTGCTTTTTTTGATCACTGTCATGTCAACACTGAAAACACTGAAAAAGCCTCACAGGCGAAAGAATTTTACAAACCTACTCGCTTATCCAACTCAGTGTTTTGGGGGCTTGAGCCTATTCCACATGCTGTCCCCTTTGGTGGAAGCAAACAGGAAAAGATTATAAAAAGTAATACGGATGGCAAAAATATTATTCAATATTTACTGCAAAATATTTGAGTACTCTTTGAAGACCCTCCACAACACTGTCAAAAAAAAATGCACATAGTTGTGCCACACTTGTGGTGCCTTAGCTTTATCTGGCCCAGCTGGGGAAAGTTGTTTCCTTTTTTATTTTGTAATAGTATTTTTTCAGTTCCACACAGAAGTTTTTATTGATAATAATCCTGTTTGGCTTTGTAGCTTTCTCTTATTTATTTAGCAACATCTAATATCACAGATCTGATGCCTATAGTTAGTAGCATGTCATCTTCTGTTCAAACAACAACATTTCCTACTACCGGTTATTTAAAAAACAAAAAACAAGTAAATCATAAATGTAATGCTCAAAAAAAAGGCAGAAAATAATTTAAACTTTTGTTGTCATTTTAAATCCTAGCTCTCAAACAGTATATGATTTTGGTATAAAACTATTTTGTGCGTCAGTAAGGATTTTCAATTTGAATATTAATTCATCAAGATCCAATGTGTCCTTAACTTTTGTGTTGCATGAACATTGTCTTTGAACACTTAACTCGAGAACTGTGTCTATCCCAACGAACGAGTAGACAGACTGCCACTCATAACAGATAAAGTCAAGCGATCATATTTAAAAAATAATTTATACAGAAACACTTCTAGCCAACACTGAACACAATCACAAAGAAATGGACAAAGTAAATATTCCAACAGCTGAAACGGGGGTGTAACTGTAAACAAAATCCTGGATTTAAAAGCTTTTGTGCAAATTAAGTTAAAGCACAGGCACAAACGTGGCAAACATGGCAGGATGCACTTCCACTTCTTGTCCTTGCACTGGGTAGTTTTATCTGACAGTTCCACAGATTAAGAACATCATGTAGATAAAGTCGGGCCTTGAGGGAGTCTTCTATCCTCCTTTTAAACGCAAGATGCAGTCAATGGCGAAGGGATCGATGGCATTTGAAACATTTATTGTAGAGACTTTAGTGTTGACAGTAAGAAACTGATGGTGCGATACAGTGATGAATCTGTGATTGGTAGTGCTGACCACTGAAGTTACAGACAAAAACAGTCCTTGTCTGCTTGAATGTGGAAATCTGAATCTGATCTGTATATTTAGGCGCTTTCACTCAGCACCATGGGAGATTGTGATGCTTTATAAAACCTATAATCAAACAACTTTCTCTGGTTACAAAAAGTCACTGTTATACCATAGTGTTGCTCTCGCCCACTTTGTCCGCATACTGAAAGAAAAGAAAGAAACCGTGTTAAGTGACAGCTTGTTGGCATTCAAGACTCATGTGGAGAATGTTTGGCACAGAAAAATGTAGGAGCGGCTGAACTGCAGTGTTTGCGATTATCCTGCAACACTTTAAAGTGAAGCATGCATGACCTAAAGGGACACACCACAAGGCACAGTCTTAAAATTTCAGGTCATTTTTATAACCTGTTTGCAACGAGGTTGTGTGCACTACTTTCTCTTTAAACAAACAAAAAAGACGAGTCTAACAAGTCTGAATACTATTCTTTCAGTACATAATCGCACACAACCCGATGGTGCAGGGAAACCCTTTCGTCCACCAGGGTAAAACAGGCAGCCTAGTATATACCAAACCCACCTCCCACTAGGGGAAACTCCAAAGTGGAACAGAGTCTAGCCCCTCTCCAGGAAACACTTTTCAGAACCTGAGCTAATGTGCTGATGAGTATATCTAACCTGTATCTCTAACCAAAAGCACTTAGACGCCTTCCCCACAAAAGAGGTGACACTCCATGTCCCTAGAGTAGGGGTCTCAAACTCCAGTCCTTGAGGGCCGGTGTCCTGAAACGTTTCCATGTGTCCCTGTTGCAACACACCTGAATAAAATTAGTAGGTCATTAGCAAGAGTATAGAACTTGACTGCATGCTGAAATGGCAACCCCTAACCCACAGGTGTTAAACTCCAGGCCTCGAGGGCCGGTGTCCTTGATCCAACACAGCTGATTTAAATGGCTAAATTACCTTCTCAACATGTCTTGAAGTTCTCCAGAGGTCTGGTAATGAACTAATCAAGTGATTAGTTCATTACCAGGCCTCTGGAGAACTTATGTTGAGGAAAAGATACGTTGAGGAGGTAATTGAGCCATTTGAATCAGCTGTGCTGGATCAAGGACACATCTAAAATGAGGACACCGGCCCTCGAGGTCTGGAACTGCCCGCCCCTGTTCTATACAGTCTTGCTAGTGACCTACTAATTGTATACAGGCGTGTTGCAACAGGGACACATGGAAAAGATTTAGGACACCAGCCCTCAAGGACTGGACTTCGAGACCCCTTCCCTAGAGCCAACGGGACCTCTGCCTTTGACTGCTGCCCAGTCCTTATTGCACTGAACCCCTACAGCACCTGCTATAGGTGGACTATAAAATACCAATGGAGAGAGAGCAGGTTAATGTCATTTAAGGAACTGACTTCCTTTTTAGATCTGAAGGCTATATCCACTTCTTTTATGCATGATACTGTTAAAAAAGAAGAAAATGTATGCACATATGCCCATAACTACAAGATTTTGTCAGGTTAGCCAACATGATAGTGGGAAATTGTGACAGCTAATCTTCCATAGAAGCTGGCTGTTTAGCTTGTTAAAATATTCAGTGGCTCATTGCAGACCAACTTTTTAAATCCTTTTGTCTGCAGTTTGTACAATTCATATTTCACTGCATTTTGCATGGTGCAGCCTTACTGTTAAAATCCACTGGGGCCATTCTGGGTGGGATTTGCAGGTTCTCTCCGGGTACTCAAGCTTCCTATCACAGTCCAAAGACAAGCAGGTAAACTTCACTGGTGATTCTCAATTGGCTACAAGTGTGACTGTCAATGTCTCTCAGTGCTATCCCTGCAATAGGCTGGTGGCCTGTCCAGGGTCACCAGCCTGGACAGGCCACCGACTCTTGCCCTATGACTAAAAGAGGCTACTGCAACCCTGAACTGGAGAAGTAAAAGACGATGGATGGATGGATGGCTTGGCTGACTGGATGTACAACATGTCATCTTAAGATATATCAGTCTTCAGATGACACGCCTGTGGTGTGTGCCTTAAAGGTTAAAAAACAAAAGACAATTACCTGCTCCAAAAAGATGAGACTCAAAGCGCGTTAGATAAGTTAACATGCAAAGGAAAATCGGCAGTGACTGACCACGACTGCTGATTGTCCTCAGAGCCTTACGAAGGCTTAAGAAAAAATAAAAAATAAAGACAGATGCTCACCTCAAAACAAAGCTTCCAACACAACAGCATGGTAGGGGTATGTTTATTAGCCACAAAGCAATGTGTGAGACAAGCTAAACACACAAAACTACATTTAATTTTCCAAACTGCTTCCATCCTAGCTGTGTATGCTGAGCTCGTGTGTCTGCTAAATTGATTGTCAGTTAAATAACCATGGCATTTATTTGGGCAGTCTGGTTAATCTGTTGTGCTTGAGGTGTTTGAATAGGATGATTAATGAAGAAACCATGCTGTGTTTAAACAAAAGCTGCACAGCAGGTGTAGAGCTGGGTAATACTCACTGCACTGATAAAGGGCAGGTTTAGGATGGAGCCAAGGACTGGTATTCTCCTGATAAAGCCTACAACCACTGGAAAGAAGCCCCTGGATGTGATTAAAGAGAGGAGAGTAAGACAGAGGGGAGAAGCCAAAGACAATTCATGAAAAAAAAGTGTTTTTTGATTATTACATTATTTGAACACGTGCATGTCTTTTTTAGTCAGAATTCTGACTTTTTTTTCCCATCAGAATTATTTTTTCTCAGAATTCTGGAAAAGAAGAAGAAAAAAAAAAAAGACGTGCTCACTTTCCCCCCCCCAGTAGCCTAATCCTCTTCCGTATGAACCAGACCAGATGACCAACTTTTATGCATAAATGTTTTTATAATGAAGATGGAAAGAATCATCCCACAGGTCGATTATTAACACCAAGTTGTTGCTAGCTCTCAAGGCTCCTCAGAACTGGGCTTGGTCTTCGTCTTTAAGCATTATCTGCATCTCTTGGTTCCATCTTAATTATCCGGTGATAATTTTGGAATTGACAGACTTTCCCTTGTCAAGTCTATTTTGAAAACACTTTCTAAACAACACTAGCTAAAATGATATCTACCACATATTAGCACTATCCTAAAAACTCCTGAACTGAAAAGCTTCAGTTGAACCAAAATGCTACAGTGAAAATACTGACAGGGACTAGAAAGAGAGCAAATTTCTCCTGTATTGGCTTCTTATCACTGGTTCCCTGATAAATCCAGAATCGAATTTAAAATCCTTCTCACCACATACAAGCTCTTGAATATTCAGTCCCCATCTTATCTTAATAATCTCAAAGTACCATATTAACCCAACAGAGCTCTTCACTCTCAGACTGCTCGCCTATGTGTGGCTCCTAGGATATTTAATTCAATTTCATGTATATAGTGCCAAATTGCAACAACAGTTGGCTGCGTCTGTTAATGCTCCCTCGCGTCTCCTCGTTCTCTCAATATTTCCAAAGTGTCTCCAGGTATTCCCAGTGTTCCAGGTTTTCAGTTTGTTAGGAATTTAGCTTTTACAGTGTATATATATATATTTTTTTAATGTTCATGCTTTGTTCTCAACCATAATAAATGGCTCGCCTGATCGTGACAGTAAGTCTATAGACCACAATTAATCAACCCAACCCGGTGATGTCATGTTCTGTGCAGACTCAGGATGGTGCTAAACTTGTTTTAAAGACTTTGAGCAGTTATTTCTTAAATCCAGAAATAAGACAGACAGTGCGAAATCCATGGCAGTTTTTTAAAGCATAGTACTCCATGTAGTGTTTCATGTCCACTTTAAGTCTTTAAACACACTGCAACTTTGATGAAAACAGTGCTTTCCAAAGTGCAATTTAATATATAAAATTTAGGGCTTTTCAGGACTGAGCCCATGTTTCAATCAGATCTCTCAAGCCATCCTGCTTCTTTCATGTAAAGAATAAGTTTACTGTATCTCAGGTTTCAGTGTTTCGTGGGCTCTTTAAACAAGATAACTGTCAGTCTACTGAATCTGTTGTGTGCCTTTTGTATTCATCTTACCTGAACAAGAGAAAAAAACCATAGATCTCGAGCAAAACTCCAATAATGGGCCAGCCAATCAACACCACAAACACTCCTCCCAGGAAGAAACTGGTGGCCTTCATCTTGTGCTTCTGGAAAAAGAAGCGGAAGGTCCTCTCAAGGCCGATGACAAAGGAGAGTCCAGCAACAAAGAGAATCTGCAGAGACAAAAAAGAGTGGAAACATATTAGAGAAGGGTTCAAAACTGCAAGCACACGCAATCAAGTATCCAGTGTTGTCATCGGCATCATATAAATACCATCCAAACAGACTGAAAGAAAGCAATTATTTGCACTAGTATGGATGAAAGAAAAAACACTGGAGTTTAATTTTATTGGTTTTAAATGATAATCGTGTAGCCAGTAGAGTTGCCACAAACCAAATGCATGCAAGCGGTTAAGAAACTTGTCCTCTGATTCAGTTTGGGTCTGCCAGACCTCTTCCTGTTAGAGTTTGTTTCTGAGTGTCTTTTGATGTCTTTTTGAAACAATACTCACTGACACCTTGACTTTCTTTGCAATTTCTCTGTAGGAAAGACCTAAATTTTATGATGGTCTGTCTCTCTTCCATTGTTAATTGCCTTTTTCCTCACCATTTTTGTAGCAACACACTCCAACACTGCTTTTATGCAGACAGAGGGTGCTGTGAGTGATCTAGAAAAGTTGGAACACCTGTAGGAATTAGTAGCACCAGCTTTCAAGGCTTGATCCGAACAGCTTTAAATTGTTAACCCATTTTGTGTTTCCTGAAAAATGCCTTTATAATGTACAATTCTGAAATGTGCATTACTTTTTCAGTTTTGGGCAACCTTAGCTTTTTTTTTTTTTTAACCTGGCAGTTCATCACTTACCTTTGTACCTCGAACGACTTGAATTCCAATAAATAACTGGAATGTTGTTGTTCTAAACGTTTTGACTGGTAGGGTATATTTTCTGTGCTTACAGAGAATATTAGAAGGAACATTTTTAACACTGTGCAGCACTATAGAAAAATCCAAAATGCAATCCTTTTTACAAGCAGCCATATTGCTAACGACAAAAATGATGAATGTCATGATTTTGAACGTGTCAAGTCCATCTATCCAGTGTTAGAGTAAAAGGCTTCAAGCAATACTCCCGGCATGATGTATAAAAAATTCCAAGCAGGTCCTGTTTATTCTGAATTTGTTTCACGTTAGCAGGAAGAAAAGGTCTAAGAGACCTGCAGCAATAAACCATCTTAAAAGATGGTTTATTGCTGCAGCCCATGTGGCAGGACCCTCTGTCACAAAGACTGCTCAACTGGACAGTGTATCCGTACACTGCCTAACTGCCATTTACATTCAGATCTATGGGAAATATGTCATTAAATAGATTAGAAAGTATGAATTGCAGTCTGGCACATAACTGATTTAGTTTGGTAGCAAAGGCAAAGAGCAGCTCTTCCAATAATACTCCATCATTAGTTCTATGAAGACAGATATTGATATTAGGGTTACAGTGGATATTCAGAGCACTATAAAGATGTAAGCAAATAGAGGCCGTCAGCATCGCAAAAAGTGAGACACGCAGAAGTGAATACATTTTCAACAGCTAAAAAAAACCAAGAGATCATGCTTGAACCTTTGACCTCTATGGTGAGGTGATTGGGTGTTTCTCTTATGTTTAGCACTAATAGCAATCCTGTGACATGAAACATTATTGTCCAAATGGGAATGGTCTTTTTCATGATAACAGTACCCCCTTTCATGGGACGATTGGGCTCACTGGAAGGTTTATATGTGTTAAAATCACGTGAATCATAATTGCAGTCAGCTAAATATCTATGAGGGATTTTGGATTCAATTCAATTTAATTTTATGTATATATAGTGCCATATCACACAAGAGTTACTTCAGGGTGCTCTATACCATAAGGTTAAGACCCTACAATGATACAGACAAGCCCCAACAATCAGATGATCCCCTATGAGCAAGCACTTTGGTGACAGTGGGAACAGGAAGAAACCCCCAGTAGGGAGGGGCGGCCATCTGCTGCGACTGTTTGGGGATGAGAGGAGGAAGACATGCTGTGGAAGACAGTCAGATTTTAATAACTAATAACTAAATGGACCTAAAAAAAGGAAAGTGAAGAAGAAGCACTCAGTGCATCATGGGGAGCCTCAAAGATTTATGGTCACCTGATCCAGCCCTAACTATGCTGTTTATCAGAGACTAAAGTTTTCAGCCTAATCTACATAGAGAGGTTGTCTGTCTCCCAAATCCAAACTAGGAGCTGGTTCCACAGAAGAGTGGCCTGCAAGTTCATAACTGAGACATTTTATTTTAGTTATATTTCCTGTGTAACTGAAATAATGCAAATGTGACACTGCTGAGAAAGTGAGGCACTTTGATGCTATTAATGATGCTGTTGCTATGTTTATGTGAAACTAAACACAGCTGGATCACACTAACAGATTATAATTAATAATAATTGTCACGTGTCACACAGTAATGCATCTGCGTAATCAGAAGTTGCACTTTTAGACATCCTTTGGAACAACAACAACAGGTTACTCACATTTCCAATAGCCAGAAGTGCTTTGTCAAAGAACAGGATCATCCCGAAGAAGAGGAAAAACACGCCGAAGCCTGTTAATCCCATTCCAATCTCTGAAGGACACACAAACCATCAGAGTCTGACATTTAAATCTTAAGATAACATGAAGAGATAATATTTTGTTACACGTTTTTCTACGTCGAAAGCAAACCAATTGGTTTACATCTCGTTACGGACACATTGACAGAAGCTATGCTCGGCATGTCAGAATGTAATCCTGCACATAGTCATAACTCTAACAGACTTATTTCAAATTAAAGCACACGGAAGTACTCCAATAACACATATGCAAACAGGGATGGCAGAAATATCCACAATAAGAATCACAGCAGGGCTTCCAAAGGAGCTCCGCTGCTCACGCTGAATGCTAAAGTTGTCAGAGCGCTTAAAATGTACTTGCACGTAACTCTGGTCGTTCTAGTGGCTACAGCGGATATTATCGGGGGGAAAGCTGCTGGCTATTTGTGCCACTGAATGTCATGAGAGAAAAATGAAAGGTAACTTTCTTGTACTGACAGTGCTAGTTAGCACTTTGAGCACTGCAGCTCAAACTAGGGTTAACTCAGACAGCAGGAACCTACGGATACACTCAAAAACACAGCTCTTACTTTGGGAGTCCGTTAGAGAAATCATCTTGATAATGTAGCTGGATGAGACAGAAGCAGAACAAAAAAGCTCTTCTCAGAATAATTTTGGATGACAGCTGCCACTGCAGCAACAGCCACGTCTTCCGGAAACACACCTTCTCTCGCTGACATCTTCCGGAACAGCGTCCATGACGCATTCATCTTGGCAACTTTCGTTCATTAAGATTATAGTTAATAACATAACCTTCACTAGGACACATATACCACGTAGCTACCCTGCTCTATTATAACACAACATCTGGATTGCACATAGCAGAATATGTTGCAAAATAGTGGAACGTAACAACACATTTGCTCATCTTGAATGTACCACATTGTGCGAGCTTGTTTTAACGCCTGCGTTTGGTCTGTCAGGCAAACAATGTAGAAATGTGTAACTGCCTGATTGCTTTGTTTTCACCCAGACTTTCCAGTTTACCTATTAAACGCCGACTTCATGTATTTAAAATGTGTAATATATTAAAATTGGTTATAGTTGATAAAGGGTGTAAATCGTCCAGCAGGAGAAGGTATTTGCAGACAGCCTAGTGGATTAAGCTCGGGGCGAAAATGTCCCGAGTCTTCTCTGATGCATATGCTTCCGAGTTTCTTTTTGTCCGTCTGTCTGTTGTAGCAACTGAGTAGCTGCTCCAACGGGAAGACGTGGTCGTGGATACAGTGTTTTTTCAATGGTTAGTCGATTGAAATTTGTGCGTTTCGAAGTTTTGTCGCAGAGGCTCAATTCACCAAGAAAGTGAAAGTGAATGAATGACGGTGGTTCCTTTGAGCTAGAGGAGACTGAGTTACTGAACAGCACTCTCCAGGCTCCTGATGCTCATTACCGTAACAAACTAGCAGCTAGCTACAATGCGATCAAACAGGTGCACCGCTTTAGAGTCTAGTTACCTTTATTAATATTCATTATATGTACTTTATGTGCATATAAAAAAATCTGTGACATAGTGTCTTTTACTGCATGTAGTAACCATGAGTCTTTTGGCGTTTTCACTATTTTTCTCATTTATTATTTTTTACCTATTTAATGTAATGTAATTTAATTTAATTTTACGTCCAGACCTTTGTGCTGCTGTAACAGGTTTGTGGGATTAATATTAGTCTATGCCTATTAAGCCTGGACAGCGTAATGAATTTCACGTGGCTGGCTAAGTCTCAGTAATATGGAGTAACTTTTGCTGTAGTTTTGATTCTGAATTTTTAATTAAATTTAGAAGTAAATCGTCTGCTTAAGAAATTACAACATGAACGTTTCCCCGAATTTTAACACGAGTAATAAATTTTAAAAAAGAAAAAAGAAATTACTCCAAGTATTCATTCACAGAAATAAATAGAAACAAAATGGTCTGAACACCACTGATAAAAATGCAGTCCGCTTTACATTCAGATATCTCACTGGCAAATAAAAATGAAACTTATAAATGTAGAAAGACGACCTTTTCTGTCGACTTTGTACCGTTGTTTCCGGTCATACATATTATCATACAAAATCATGAAGTTGACTGTTTTTTAAAGTTGATTTTTTATATGGTTTATGTCTGTGACAGCCTGAAAGCTGATTTCCTCCTGAGCACATCAGACTGTGAAATATGAATACAGGTAAGTATTTCTGTTTATACTTTTTAATATTTTTCCAATTAACTGTTTGCTGAGTTTTTTGTGGAGCAGTGAACAATAAACAGTACTGATATGCATACATGTGATAAAATAGCTGTGATAGCTTTTGTATTGGAGACAATGTTGTTAGCATGGCGACTGGAGACGATAACACTGCCACAACTCCAGAGGGAGGTGAAGGAATAAGATCATTAACTGCGGGGGTGTGATTCTCAGGGCTCTTGTTACTGTGTAGGTGTGAGACCTGGCTGTCTACTCTGCCCACTCTAACAACACCAGTCCACTGAGAGAACATGCTGCACATTTCTGTCTCTATGAAAGGAGCTGACGGTACATAACGTATCACAGATATAGCCAACACAGTACTGAAAGTACTCCTTTGGTTTTCAAGACGTCACTGTCAGTCACACTGTCATAAAGATGTTTCTTTATTTAGATTCTATTTTGGTTGAATCCTTTATGCCTTTTATTTTTAATTTAGATGACTGTGTTTTAACAAAGACTCTCTTCCGATCTCCTTGGGTCAGCTAAAGGGTGAATGAATTAAAGCAGGTAGGACCAAAAAGTGCACCGCTAAAGATAAAATCAGACCCTGGTAGAACCAGGGTTGGGGGGAGGCGGCCATCTGCCGCGACCAGTTGGGGTGAGAGAAGGAAGGCAGGATAAAAGACATGCTGTGGAAGAGAGACAGAGGTTAATAACAAGTATGATTCAATGCAGAGAGGTCTTTTAACACATAGTGAGTGAGAAAGGTGACTGAAGAAGACTGAAAGTAAATGCAAAAAAGTAAAAATAAATCATTGTTACTGGTACTGACCTTTAACGCTGACTGAAAACAATTATATGGTGACAAAATGAGAACGTTATCCTCTTTTTTTCTTTTCTTTTTTTTTTTCTAAAAAAAAAGTTACTGGTAATAGACAACCTAACTAGCATTTAGAGGGTAAATTTTTTTTTGTTTTTTTGTTTTAATGACAAGGAATGATGCCAATTTGAGAAATCGAGTGGAAACAGTTTTAATATGTATTAATTTTATAACATTTTGTGAACGTAAACAGGTGGTGGCCACATTTGTCCACTAACAAGCTGAGTGGGAGTTTTTTTTTGTTTTTTTTCTTTTCAAAAAAGTAATGACTCATATATAATCGTAAAAGGTTAATTATTGATATACATTTAACTGCAATCATGGTTAGAAAATAAATCAGATTGCTTGTATTATTTGGTAAAAAATAATTATTTTATCCTTTTATTTCTTTGTAAATCATAAGAATGATGTGATGTAACTGGTTTTGAAAGGGTCAAAATTCTGAATTTTATGACTAGGACTGGTGCTAATTTAAAAACTCAAGTCAGACAAAGTTTCATCCATCCATCCATCCATCCATCTTCATCCGCTTTATCCGAGGCCGGGTCACGGGGGCAGCAGCCTAAGCAAAGAGGCCCAGACCTCCCTCTCCCCAGCCACCTCCTCCAGCTTATCCGGGGGAACACCAAGGCGTTCCCAGGCCAGCCGAGAGATATAATCTCTCCAGCGTGTCCTGGGTCTGCCCCGGGGCCTCCTCCCGGTGGGACATGCCCGGAACACCTCACCCAGGAGGGCATCCTTGTCAGATGCCCGAACCACCTCAGCTGGCTCCTTTCGATGTGGAGCAGCAGCGCTCTACTCTGAGCCCCTCCCGGATGGCCGAACTTCTCACCCTATCTCTAAGGGAGAGGCCAGCCACCCTTCGGAGGAAGCTCATTTCTGCCGCTTGTATCCGCGATCTCGTTCTTTCGGTCACTACCCACAGCTCGTGGCCATAGGTGAGGGTAGGGACGTAGATCGACCGGTAAATTGAGAGCTTCGCTTTTACACTCAGCTCCCTCTTCACCACGACGGACCGGTGCAGCGTCCGCATTACTGCAGCTGCAGCCCCAATCCGTCTGTCGATCTCCGGCTCCCTTCTCCCATCACTCGCGAACAAGACCCCGAGATACTTGAACTCCTCCACTTGGGGCAGGAACTCATCCCCGACCCGGAGTGGGCACTCCACCCTTTTCCGGCTGAGAACCATGGCCTCAGATTTGGAGGTGCTGATCCTCATTCCCGCTGCTTCACACTCGGCTGCGAACCGTTCCAGTGCGAGCTGGAGGCCCTCACCCGATGAAGCCAACAGAACCACATCATCCGCAAAAATCAGAGATGAGATTCTGAGGCCACCAAAGCGAAAGCCCTCCGCCACTTGGCTGCCCTAGAAATCCTGTCCATAAAAATTATGAACAGAACCGGAGACAAAGGGCAGCCCTGGCGGAGCCCATCACCCACCGGGAACGAGTCCGACTTATTGCCGGCAATGCGAACCAAGCTCTTGCAACGGTTGTATAGGGATCGAATGGCCCGTAGCAATGGGCCAGACACCCCATACTCCCGCAACACCTCCCACAGGACACCCCGAGGGACACGGTCGAATGCCTTCTCCAAGTCCACAAAACACATGTAGACTGGTTGGGCAAACTCCCATGCACCCTCAAGTATCCTGGAGAGGATAAAGAGCTGGTCCAGTGTTCCGCGACCAGGACGAAAACCGCATTGTTCCTCCTGTATCCGAGGTTCGACTAGCGGACGAACTCTCCTTTCCAGCACCCTGGCATAGACTTTCCCAGGGAGGCTGAGGAGTGTGATCCCCCTGTAGTTGGAACACACCCTCCGGTCCCCCTTCTTAAAGATGGGGACCACCACCCCGGTCTGCCAGTCCAGGTACTGCCCCTGATCTCCAGCAACATTGTAGAGGCGTGTCAACCAGGACAGCCCTACAACGTCCAGAGCCTTCAGGAACTCGGGGCCCCGGTAACCCTATCCCGGGCAGGGTAAACTGTTCCCTCGATGTTCTCTTCATAAGGGTCTTCTGAATCGCTCTTTGTCTGGTCCCTCATCCAGGACCAATTTGCCATGGGAGACCCTACCAGGGGGCAAAAGCCCCCAGACAACATAGCCCCTGGGATCACAGGGACACACAAACCCCTCCACCACGATAAGGTAGCGATTCACGGAGATATCACCTTTCTCACTCGAAGGTGGCCACTTTTGGCCATGAATAAGCTGAGTGGGAGTTTTATCAACTTTTGCTTTACGTGCACAAAAATAATAATATATGTTGTTGTTAATCGAGGACATGTCTTAAACTCTACTATTAACAATATAAGAAATCCATTAGCACTGCAAATATAGGAAATGGTCATTTTTGAGGTTGTCTTCCAACAAGGGCATTGTAACTGGTGTTTTACGGGTTTATATTTATGAAAAGAGCTGATGTTAGTTAAAAACTTTATGTAGTAAGAATAGCAAAAGAAAACCATGCAAATAAAAAAAAAATTACAGACTTAATTAGTTGGTGGCCACTTCTGGACATGCGCAAGCTGAATGGATGAGTGATTTTGAACAAACCAGAATTGATTGCCCAAGAGTAGTTATTATCTGGGCATTGCTGAACTGTTTGGGGTCCAAAGACACAACAAATAAGTGCTTGGAGCCTGCTACCAATGTTCCTGGTGTTGCTGTTTAGATATGCAGGTCGAGCTGGACTCGATCGAGGCCGAGCTGGACACAGTGGAACTGCAGCTCGCAGAGATCCTGCAGAAAAAGGCTGAGCTCACTTCTCGGAAGAATGCCCTGCTGCAGCAGCTGGAGGAGGCCTGTGACACTGCACAGCCTTTGTCTTCTTCTGCCTCAAAGGCATCTGAAGCCAAGCCAGCGATGAGCAAGCAGGAAATGCAACGATATGATGGCACAGGTACTCGACAGACAGACTAGACAACTAGTTGTAGAAATATGCCACGCCTGTGCACTGTGTTGACATGCAGTAACATCATGCTTTATAGATTTTCCATGGTCCAGCAACGTGGAGCAGCACCTGAAGGCCACATTCCATCTCTCTAACTTCAGACCTTTGCAGCTGAAAGCCATCAACCTGACCATGTCAGGCAAGGACCTGTTCCTGGTCATGCCCACAGGAAGAGGGAAGAGTCTCTGCTATCAGCTTCCTGCAATCTGTTCTAATGGTACAGTGAGACACACATGCAGAGTTTTGGAACAAAACATCTGTCCTTCCAGTTTTATGCTCTTCTTCTTACGACTTATTTCTTTTACTTTTATCATTGATCAGGCTTTACACTGGTCATCACTCCACTTGTATCCCTGATGGAGGACCAGTTGATGTACCTGAAGACTATTGACGTGTCGGCAGTCATGCTCAATGCATCCAGTAGCAGAGTAAGAACTGCCTGCCATGTAGAAAAAGATTATTTGAGGATTATGCGTGTGTGCGGAAAGAAAAGAATTGCCTTTTGTAATCCACATTTTGGATACAAGTTGTAACTATGTGTTTGTTTTACTGAAAGGGTGCAGATTTTTGGAAAGGAAAAAAATCTGCTAGCCAACTGTGTTATGTGTTGTAATTCCAAAGATATAGAGTGGAAAAAAACTAGAGGTCATACCCACTCTCCCTCCAGGTAGCCTTCTTTTGTGACAGCCTGAGACATAGCTTTTGACAGATGTACACATCTGTCAAAAATTCACACATACACATGTGTTGATAGTTTAATAGTATGTCTCATGAAAGTGAACTTGCAAATGTGTGTGTGAATGCACAGACTAGCAAAACAGAGTTTTAGGGAGAAAATAAAACTACATGTACAGGTACTATCTTCTATTCAATTCAGTAACATTTGATTTGTACAGCCACAATCACAACAATAGTTGCCTCAAGGAGCTGTGATCTTGTTTTCACTGCTTTACAAAACTAATGTGAGAGATCATCCAAAATCATTCATTCTGCATATTCCATGACTGCTGTTCATATCTGATGAGTAAACTGACTTTCTTGACAACTGCTTTTAATTTTGTATCCATGTCTTCATTTTGCTTTAAGCAACAATGAAATAACCATGGGAACTGCACTCACTGTTCACCAGTGTGTCCAAGAATCGTTTAGTGACATTACACACTTCTGCTGTGGACAAGAAATGAAGACTGAGATGGCTTTAGGGCATCTAAACAACATGGATGGATCATCTGTAAAGATCCACAACAACTGCAGAGCTTTATGTTTCTGGCACTAAACTGCAGCTTGTTTTTTGTTTCCATCATTCGCAGGAGCATGCTAAGATGGTCATGGCTGGAATGACAGATCCAAAGGCCCCCTTCAAGCTGGTGTACGTGACTCCAGAGAAAATTGCTAAGAGCAAGCTCCTAATGTCTCGTCTGGAGAAAGCCTACAAAGCAAACCTCCTGAATCGTATTGCTGTTGATGAGGTGCACTGTTGCAGCCAATGGGGTCATGACTTCAGACCAGGTGAGTATTCTGACCTCAGATCATATTTAGTAAACCCACCCCCCGTTGCTATGATGTGCTACATACTGGTTCACCTGTGTGCTTGTCGTTCAGATTATAAGATGCTAGGCATCCTGAAGAGGCAGTTCCCCAAAGTGCCCCTCCTTGGCCTCACAGCCACAGCAACCAGTAGTGTCCTGAAAGACTGCGAGAAGATCCTGTGTGTGCCACAGGCAATCACGCTTACTGCTTCCTTCAATCGAACTAATCTCTACTATGAAGTAAGCACTGTCACTGCACTCAAAAATCCACTTAGCCAGTCAAATGTTTTAATATAAAAATATGTGTTTAGAAATGTACATTTTTACCCTAGCAACAGGCAATACCGTTGTCTGATTGGCTGGTAGTTTGCTAAGCCGCAACAGCTACGAACTCTGTGAAGAAATTGTTCATTTCTGTATATTAGATTGAAATTAGAATCCCCCACCTTTATACCTTAATACGTCTTTAACTTTCAGTATAGTCCATTGAAGGAGTGGTGGCCATCTTCAACAAATATGCTCATATTTAACTTGTAGCAAACGTGACACACCAGCTGTCAATCAATAGTATACATCCCGCCCATCCCTTCTTGGTCAGTGCCCATAACACAGTTTAAAAAAATGACCTGGGGGAAAAAAAAAAGAAAACCAAAAACAACAGATTTGTTTTTATTTTTAAATTAAAATAATTATTAGAAATTACATTGACTTTATTTAAATGGGTGACAAAGGAAACTGAAGACATTTCTGTCTATTATGCTGTCAAAGACATGTCAAGACAAACCAATGGGTGACAGCCAATATAGTATTTCCGAGTTATTCACTTTATGCTATAATGAAACATTTCTACCCTGAAATGTTTATTTATGATTTTTTCCTAAAAATCTACATGAAAAATATTCTGGAATTAAAATCCAGTTTTGTTGTCACCGTACAGAACAGGATTTATGAGATGTCCAAAAAGCAATTTGATCTCATACAGACTGACATGCCAAGAGGTTTATGATATATCAAATGAATAGTTATTGCAAACATGAAAATGCATCAGTTTAAAATAAACAATTGATTAATAACAGTCAATACAATGTCATTGTCACACGCTTGGCAGGACAGACACCAGCATCACCGGGCGGGGATGTCACAGTAGACTTACATGAATCTCGATATCCAGTTTGAAACCAACACAAAATGATTATCCCTCATACTCAAACATAAACTGATTTATGGTGGTAGCAGGACATATGCTAAACTGTTGGGAAAATATGCTGAATAGACCACTATTGTTACTCCAAGGTATAACGTCAGTATGTACATTACATTAACCACTGAAAAACACTTTAGTCCAAAGGTGTCGAACTCCAGACCTCGAGGGCCGGTGTCCTGCAGGTTTTAGATCCAACACAGCTGATTTAAATGGCTAAATTACCTCCTCAACGTGTCTTGAAGTTCTGGCATTGGAGTTCAACACCCCTGCTTTAGTCTGTGGACCATTGCTGATTTTAAAAGGCCAGTAAAATAAAAAAAAAAAATGCAGGATAATATAAGAAAAACAATATTTTAGATGTGGTTGGATGTTGAAAGTCCCTGAACCAATCTGTCAGTCTCTTTCTTCCCTGTGAATTTGGGACAAAATAGTGTGCTGCTTATTCACAGTCGGATCACACAGTTACTGTGTGGTGTGCTTGACATCATCTGTCTTTGAATCTATCTAATAGAATAAAACTAAATAAGTTTTGTATCAGGTGGAAGGCAAACTCTCTGAATAATGATAGAAAGATAAAAATAAATGTGCTTATGAAGTCAGCTCTTCATCTTTTCTCAGAGTTAATAACTGTCACCTCCACTGTATAATCATTAAATAGAGCAGAGGTTCTTAACCTTTTTTTACTGCGGGTCCCATTTCAGATATTAACACTGTATTGAATAAATTGATGTTACTTTTGGTTTAATTTAATAACTAAATCAAATCGACTTCATTTTAACAGTTAAAACCTTGTCAAATAAACATGATGATGACATGATACGATGTAATAATCACAAAGACATTTATTTATTATGTGTATTTGAACCTGCACATAAAAGAAAATGCCAAACAACAAGGAAGGATTTCTGCTCCGAGCATTCAAAGAGCTTTATACAACTTGCTTTCTCACACATCAAATGTGTGAGCTGAGTATAGTTACATTAGTTATGTCTGCTAAATTGGGCTAACACTAATGTGACCAACTCTGTCAGATGACTCCAACGCTTAACACAATTTCAGTCAAAATGTAGAGCTAGTATTTTTTAACATGGGACTCTATTGGTATTTTACTGGCTTTTAAAACCAGCCTGAAGTGCCTGTAGTTTTTGGCTCCATTTTTCAGCCCCTTGACTATGACTTTGGACTGTAGAAGTGTCCTTTATAGAAGTTAAGTTATACAAATTCTCAACAAGACATGGTTTGGATCATGCATTAATCTAACAACTCTTACAGACAGAAGATACTCTATGAATACACAAAGTTCGAAAAGGCTGTAGAGGAATTCTCTAGAAAAGGGGTGGTGAACTCCAGGCCTCGAGGGCCGGTGTCCTGCAGGTTTTAGATATCGCCCTATTTCAACACACCTCAATCAAATGATTAGTTCATTACCAGGCCTCTGGAGAACTTCAAGACATGTTGAGGAGGTAATTTAGCCATTTAATTCAGATCAGCTGTGTTGGATCAAGGACACATCTAAAACCTGCAGGAAACTGACCCTCCAGGCCTGGATTTCGACACCTGTGCTCTAGAAGTTAAGAGTTAGGGTTCATAAACTTCTTTTTACTATGCTCCCCATCTTCATACACACTTAACACGTGTTTCATTTCCTTCTCAGGTTCGTATAAAGGATTCTGTCAGTGAAGCATCAGTAAATGACATAGCTGCTCTGATCAAGAGTAAATACAAGGACCAATCAGGTACTATGACAAACAAGACTGCTGCATATATAAAACATTACTAATGCCATTTTTCCACTAGTGCCGACTCAATTTGATTCTCTTCTGTTTTGGTGATTTTCCATTAAAATTGAGTACATGCATGGGTTGTTATAGCAACGTGGTTGTCATTTGTATACTACACAAACAAAACAGTGAAGGACGCTGAGGCGATGGTATACCTTCTGCTCAGCCTACGGCTTACTGTTAAACTTGCGGACCATGGTATTGGTTTTTGTGTAGCCATTTCCCTCAGTGCTGGGTTTCAAAAATAGTGGTTTTGATTTTTGAGGAGTCACTCTCATGACCCCAGTGACACCACTGACTGGCCAATTGGCGTCATCCAGTTTGTTCCATTTTCTGATTGTCTCAGATTGCTTGGAAGCCTGACTGAATAGGTACTAAAAAAGTACCTGGTTACCACTTATAACCACCTAATGGAAAACCCTTAAAATTGAGTTGATTTGAGCCAATCCGAGCTGAGTGGGCACTAGTGGAAAATGGCTAAAAAAGGTTAATATCCTCAATTCTGCAAAGTATTTTTAGTCATGCTAGAATAGACAATTATAATGTGAATATTTCTATACGTAATAATCATGTATGAATATTTTCTGCTTTCTTCATACATGCCACAGGAATTGTGTATGTATTCTCTCAGAAGGATGCAGAGTTGGTGTCAGCAGAACTCCAGAAAAGAGACATCTTGGCATATCCTTACCATGCAAACATGGACTCTGAGGACAAGTCCCGGGTTCACCGCAAATGGACCTCCAACAAAATTCAGGTCAGTAAAGAAACATATGCACAGCTGCATTTCTGCTGAGATTTTCTATAAGAATTGGGTCAAGATTTTCTGCTCATGGTTAATATTGCCTGGAGTGATTCCACAAAAAAAATTTTAATATATTTTTTTATTTAATTGCAATAAATGGTTCAGCACATAGCTTTTAGATATTATTAAAACTAATTTTTGGATTTAAAATATTCTTCTAAAAAGGGTTTTAGTGGATTTCTGGACTTCTGTAGTGTTGTAGATGGCAGCAGCTTAAACTACAGTCAGTGCTCCCCAAAATAAATAATTAAGTCATAGCTTAAAATGTAGATTTAAATAGCATAAAAGGGGATAATAGGAATTTCCTTCAGGATTAATAAAGTATTCTGATTCTGATTAAAGGGAGAAATCAACATGGCAAAGTCAGAAAATGAACTATAAATTACAAAGGAGCTCAAGGGGGATGTGAACATAGCTTATTTCCTGGAATATGGAACTAAGGAGGTGGTTTGCATGGAAAAAATGGAGATCAAGTAGAGTGGAAGGAGTGTTCTTTAAACAGCACTTTGGGATTTAGATTGCACTTAAAAGAAAAGCATATAATGCAATCAGAATGACACTCAAGGAAAAATGAGTTCATCATCAGACACTATCCAGGAAAACTCAGGGTGTTTTATGACTCCAGCTCCGTGATCTACAGCAGCGCATCCAAAGCCACAAACAACCTGGAAAAATGGGATTACAAAGTCCAGAGCCAGTTCCCTCTTAGCAGTCACTTTTAAATGGAGATCCTATCATTGTAGGTGGTAAACAGCTGGAAGTAATCCATGCGATGATCTGCTTGAAACACGTTGAAACTGAGAGGAGTTCATCATAATAACCAATGTACGGAAGAGGATTAGGGCCACTGGGGGGGGGGATGGGCACGTCTTTCTTTTTATATTTATATATATATATATATATATGTATATGTATGTGTATGTGTATGTATGTATATGTATATATGTATGTATGTATATATATATATGTGTATGTGTATGTGTATGTATATGTATATATGTATGTATGTGTATATATATATATGTGTATGTATATATATATATACGTAATTGACACCAATTTCCTAAACAATTGAGTTTAATAGCCTGATATCAGCCTTTATCCAGGTCAAGATAACATGTAGGCTTAGGTCACAAACTCTAGAGCTAATGAAAGAGGAGGGAGGCATAACTCTGGCTTGCTTAGAAAATTATTAAAAGATAGCTCATTACTCTTCTGAATACAGTAGGACTAAAATCTTTATAAGAAATATTTATTTACACTCTATAAGTGGATGTCAGTACCTCTAAAGGTCTGGGACATGCCAGAGAACGAGCAGTAATAAATCTGCAGGTCTCTTCCAAATCTTCTGGGATTGTCCAAAGCTGTCCTACTGTACAGAGGTGGTAGCAAACGTAATTTAACAATTTGTCCACAATTGGCCTTTGATTTCACTTTAATTTATCTACTTAACCTTCCATCTGGACTTGATTAAAAAAGATTGTAAATATTATATAAATAATGTGATCCGAACTAAAAATCATATCAATTTTGTTCAAAATCAGCACTGAAGTTCCCCCATACATAGAGAGGGGCAATACCTCTGATTGGAAAAAAATATTCCATTCCATGCTTGTAAACAGCTCACTGAATAATGCATCTGTAAAACACATGAGTTGTTTTTTTCGTTTTTGTGTGTTTAGGTTGTGGTAGCCACTGTGGCATTTGGCATGGGCATTGACAAGCCTGACGTCAGGTTTGTCATCCACCACACCATCAGCAAGTCCATTGAGAACTACTACCAAGAGAGTGGACGGGCAGGTAGACGGCCTATAATTTCTATTGGTAGCATAAGCAATACCGTTCTAGCATTACTCATGGTTATTATTCCGATGTTAAGTGTTTCCGTTGTGTCTCCAGGTCGAGATGACTCTCCGGCTGACTGCATTGTCTATTTCGGCTTCGCTGATATCTTCAGGATCAGCACCATGGTGGTGATGGAGAATGTTGGTCAGCAGAAATTGCTACAGATGGTAGATTACTGCCAGAATGTTAACAGGTAGCACAGGATGTCAGTGCGGGCTGCCCAATTTGCACAGTCTTAAATGTAGTATATATTCTTAAATGTAATATCTGCTTTGTGAAGGTGTCGGCGCTCTCTCATGGCAGTTCACTTTGATGAAGTGTGGGATGATGAAGGATGCAACCAGATGTGTGACACTTGCAGTCAAGCAAAAGGTGTGGGTGGTGATGAAATTTATTGCTTTATGTGTCAGCCATATCGATCATATGCCCTAAATCCATCACCTCACTTTTAACACCCCCCTCCAGATTACCCCACTGTGGACATTACCCAACATGCCAGGCAAGTGGTGCAGATTGTGGAGCTTGCAGCCTCCATGGATGAGAAACTGACCCCACTGAAACTGGTGGATGCATGGATGGGGAAAGGCCCTGCAAAGCACAGGAAGATGATTCAGACCACCACGCTGTCTCGGCGACAGGCTGAAGTTGTGATTGTTCACCTGCTCCTGCAGGGATACCTCAGGTGATTCATGCTTCGTTTCTTTCTGTGGATTTAGCTTAATTCAATTTTATTTATTAAGTATCAATTCACTACAGTTTTTCAAGATGACTTTGTTTATTGTTCTGTTTTTGTTCATTAATTGACCAGTGTGTGCATGTCTGTGTGTCAGCCTGTCTGTAGAGATGATAGGTGGAAAAGTTTTGAATGAATTCTGATAAAACCTTGGATGGGGTTTAGAGAAGGCTTGGCTTAACGATCCATTAAAATTTGGCTTCCTCTGATTGTATTGGCACAGGAAATGATACTGGTATATAAGGATTCTAAATATCGCATTACAGTTAGATCCAAATATGTCACATTTGATCTCTGACATCACTTTTACATTTCACATGTGCACTTCTTTAAAATTAACCCCCAAATGCATTATTGTTGCTGCACTGCAAACTTCTTAAAATACATTTAAAAAGAACAAAGACAACAAAATGCAAATATAATGTACCCCTAAAAGTAAATACTGAGGAGAAGAGAGTGAGCTGCCTGGGCAGAGGTTGGTGCTCTTGGAGTGCTTCTTGGTCTAAAAGAGATCATCTTTGTGTGACACATCTCTCTTTTCTGACACGTCAGAAAAAGATGTTGATTTCATGCAAAGAAATCCCACTGGTGTCAATGAAGTGCCTCCAAACTGCTAACCAAGTTTGGATACCATTTTCTTCCTCTACACTAGGTTAGCCTTCAAGCTAGCAACTGTTGCACTGTTGCAGATGTGGGGCCTAGGAAATGCAGAATAAATTAAATTGAACTCAAAACATCAGGCCCTTTTTAGAATATCCATTCTAGCTTTTCTAATTAGGATCAAACCTGTCACAATGTAAAGAACAAAAATGCATTGAGAAGTTTCCCTCAAATCACACAGCCTCTGCAAATACATTGTGTTGGAAATCGGACCATATTTAGTCTATAGAGAGGAGTAGCTGAAGTTAAAGGCCAGACATGCTTTTCACTTTTACTTTCTTTGAATAAAGCTTTAAACTCACCTTAACTTGACCTGACTGACTGTGGCAAACCATCAGGCTGTGTAAGTCTCTAGTTCATGGGATTAAAGATAAAGCTCTGATCCTGTGACCATTAAGTCTGTCTGACACAGAGTTCTTCCCAATGTGTTGACCTCAGAGAGGATTTCAGCTTCACACCTTACACCACCTACTTCTACATGAAGCTGGGCCGCAAAGCTTCTCTGCTGAAGAACCCGACACACACACTGAGCGTGAAGATGAGAGATGCAGAGGCCGGAGCTGCTTTGGTAAGTTTGAAGTAAAAAACATATTCTTCTGTTACCATCATTTAGGAGAGTTTTTTAGTATAACACCTAACCCTAACTACAAAGTAAGTTACAAATCACATCTGTTTTCATGTCACAGTTGGGTGTAGTTAGGCCTGAATTTTAAAACACTCACTTTAGTTAGTACATCACACTGTCTTTGTTTGCAACAGGTTTGAACAAACATTTCCAATTTGTAAAATATTACAGCTACAATCAGACTGAGTGCCAGCACAAACAGATCAGAGTGAGCAGACTGCATTGTACTGTTTGGAATATGTTTTTTATTAGTAACTAATCCAAAAGAGCCTAATAAACCATTTATGTTCTATTTAAAAGCTCTAAGTGAATAAAAATGTCATAAGGACACTCTAGTCAAAATAAACACTTTTAGATCCCTGTCTTACTTCTCTCACCCTAACCTATCGCAGCAGATGGCCCCGCCCCTCCCTGTGCCTGGTTCTGTCGGAGGTTTTCCTGTTTCCTGCTTCCTGTTAAAAGGGAGTTTTGCCTTCCCACTGTCGCCAAAGTGCTTGCTCATAGGGGGTCATATGATTGTTGGGTTTTTCTCTGTATGTATTATTGGCACGATTTGATATCCTCGTGTTGGTGTTATTCCTACATCATCATAATAAATGTTGTTCCGGGTTCAACATTGCAAGTGACCAATCACATAGTTGTGACGTCATACTTTTACGACTTCGGGAAAAAAAAAAAGCTGTTAAAAAAAATGTACTTGCGAAAAAACGCCTCTGTCTGCCGATCCAGCAATTTGAATTCTTTGCATTTCAGGATACTGCTCTTTAATAATCGATAAGCATTATACATATTGTCCTTGCAACATTGGAATAAATGATTGAATCGCTTGGCTGCAAAAGTATGATGTCACAACAATGTGATTGGTCACTTGCAATGTTGAACCCGGAACAACATTTATTGTGATGATGTGGGAACAACACCAACACGACGATATCAGGTCATCCGTATTATTGTAGGGTCTACCTTACAATATAAAGTGTGCTGTTGTTGTGATTTGGTGCTGTATAAATAAAACTGAATTGAATTGGAAATAAAGCTATTTAATATAAATGGGTTATAAAAGGGTTAAACAGGTCAATGGTATGGGTACAGGGTACACAGAAAAATGCATGACTTTCATTACTTCTGTTCGGGACATAAACTTCTGCATGTCTTATTTATGCCACATGTAAATAGTCCTAAAAATTGGTTGCAGTAAAAATGTTCAGCTGCTTCTCTTCCTGGAGTTTCCAAGCACTATCAAAAAAATAAATAAATTAGCAAAAAAAATATAATTGCTTCAGAAAAGATAATTTAATTTTTTTATGAATAAACTAAGTAAAACTACTTGTCAATGTACTCTTCAATTCAACAGCTACACTCACAGAACTAGCCAACTAAAATATGCTCTCCTCTGCACAGTCCTCTTTGCTTTACAGTGCTCTACACACCCGAACATTAAAGCTAACAAGTGGATTTTCCCGTTTAACGGGAGGAGGGATCTGTGTTTATATAAACAATGACTGGTGGACAAATCACACTGATATAGCAAGCTACAACTCCTCAGACTTGAAATACTTAATACTTGAATGCAGAGGATCTTTTCTAACTTTTTTGGAAATGGGGTTGTAAATTAGATCTTTACAGCAGTACCGTTCTGAGATCTCACGGTTTCCTGTTTTGGCACTGAATCAGATTCTGTCCTGGATTGTTGCATGTCCTCCCCTTCTAGTGTCGACTCATACATTCCACATCGGTGTGAACCTATTCGGATAAAGCACTTTTGTTAATGACCTGCAGGTAAAAGTCTCCAGTGGCAAGGGCAAATCCAAAGAGGGAAAGAGATCAGTTCAGAGCTGTGGAGATGCCACTGTGTCCAAGAAAATCAAGACACATCTTCCATAGCCCTCTCTCACCTGCCCAGAGGACAAGTTTACAAAGTACAGTTCATCATTCCCTACTCTGTTCACAGTTGCTTGTGTATGCATGGTGCTATGAACACTGTTACTTGTTACCGCATTGACTTCCATGGTGATGAAAACTTTTGAGAAGCTTGTAAAACATGAGCTTTTGCATGCTACTCAGGATAAATTACACCCCCCCCAAGTTTGCCTATAGAACAGGTAATAGGTAGTGTAGAGGATGCTGTGTGCACCTTGCTCTATATGGTTTTGAAGCACATGGATGGTGTAGCAAACTTTTATTGCCTGCTTTTTGTATTCAGCCCCATATTTCAGCAAGACATCTCACCCGTACATTTAATGTTTATTCTGGACTGATTTCTTGGCTTATTGACTTTTTAACAGAGTCAATAACAGAAAGTGAGAGTCAACAATATTCTATCAGATGTGCTTTTATCTTCCACTGTTTCCCCCCAAGCGTGTGTCCTTTCTCCACTTTGGTTCTTTATACAAATGAGTGTCAGAGCCTCTACCAGGACGGACATATAATCAAGTTTGCAGACGACTCCGTTATCGTCTCTCTGCTCCACGATACAGATTGTGACTGTGGCCCAGTTGTAGATGACTTTGTAAGCATGGTGTGGACAGTCTTTTCTTGACATTAATGTGTTTAAAATAAAGGAAATGGTTGTTGATTTTTTCTAAATAAAAAATGTCATCTAACCCTGTTTGTATTCATGGGCAAGAAATTGAGGGGATAGAGAAATATAAATATCTGGGCACCATACTTAATTAAAAGTTTACATTTGATGTGATTACAGACACCATATGTGCAAAGACTCACCAGCGTATGTATTTGTATCGGAAACGAAGTGGTTTTAATGTGGATAATATTTTTTATGAAAATGTTCTTGTTTTATTGAGTCTGTTTTCATTTTCTTTAATCTGCTGGTTTGGGTCTCTTAGCCTGAAAAATAAGAAAAGGCTGGAGCTCATTTTTAAATTGTGTAGCAAAGTGGCAGCTAAATGATCTTGCCCTCATGCATAAAGGGAGGGCGACCCTGAAGTCAGAACGGATGCAGGGTGCTATGACACCCTCTGGTTTTTTTTAAAGAGTATCAGCTGTTGCCTTCAGGGAGGAGGTATTTCTTGCCTCGTTGCAGAACAAACAGATTTAAACTCTCATTCGTCCCTACCACTATTCATTTTTGAAATTCTGTTATGTAATTTTGGGTGGATGTGTTATTTATGCAGCTGGCTACAAAGCAAATTGCCCCTTGGGCATAATAAAGGTTATCTTGATTATATTTTCTCGCCCACGCCTGTTGGGCTTAGTGTAAAATCTTAAATATTCAGATTTTACACTAAGAAGCATGTTTCACCAAGCTCTCGCTAACATTTCATCAAACTAACACATTCCATTTAACCTGGTTACTTGTAGGTTAAATATTCTGTTGCTGTATACACTTTATGAACATGATACTTTAAGTTTCTCTATTTTGACACATTCACCTCTTTGTGTACATCCAGTGGCTTATTCCAGAATGAAGACTTCACTAACATTGAATTTCATGTTTACAGGACACCTCAGCTGTTAAAGTGAATGAAGAGGATGTCAATATGACCTTAGACTCCACTGTTGTGGAGGACAGCTGTCCCCCACAACCTAAACAGATAATATTTAAAGAAAAGAGGAACGTATCGAGAAGACAAGACCTGAAGCCAGTCAGCCAGACAAACAAGCAGATGGCGAGACCGGACAGATATGGGAAGGCAGAGGAAAAGAAGAATAAACCTATCGTATTTCAACATATAATTGAGGCGGATGTTGAAATGAACAGAGTACATCATGTAGGAATCAGTGATTGTCAGAAAACACCGTCACATTCAGATAAACCTTGTTCCAGTTGCAAATCCAGCACCCCTCAGAGAATGCGAAGGAAAGCTTGTGCTCACACAGCAGCAGCCACAGGGCATGTTCCCTGTCCATCCACCCATATCACTGTGCCTAGCTCTCCTTCCCAGACCTCCATCATCTCTGACACAGCAGCTGAGGAGCTCTGCGACCTCAGGAATTATTATGGCGAACAGCTGAGGAGAATAAACTACATTTCCCACGAGTACTTGGGGCAGCCCACACATCCAGGAGTGCTGGCCTGTATCAGGGAGCCTTTGAAGAGCCTCCGCCTGCCCCGTGGACTGATCATTGCCCAGACAGCTCGAACCCTGTGGACACGCATCAGTGGCAGGAGAAAGCTGGTCCGCTGCTGACTTTTGTTACTGTTTAAATATAAAAATAAAATGAACTTTGTTTGGAAGTCTCGTATATTTTTATATTTATTATTATATAGATGGAAGAGAGAGAAATTACCTACCTCGTGTCAAACCAATGTTTTATGGCCCCCGTGTCAAATGATTTGTGCCTCAGGAAATTGTAATGGAAGTAATAAAAGTTAATTTTCTATTTTCATGAATATGATGAAATTATGATATTACATAACTCGGTAATAATCAATCATATGCGCAAAAATTATGATCATGAAAATGTAGACGAGGATGATGAGTAGGATGTTTGAGATCGTTGGAGTTTGTCACTTTAAGCCAAAAAGTTTAAGACAAAGACAAAATTAAGACAAAAAATTGCCAACTCAAACATTCTGAGATGAGCTTACACACTTGCTTTACTTCTCTGGGATAACTTTCTCGTAGATTAAATGCTGGTTTGGAAGCACGTAGCGAGGCTCCAAATGCTGAACCAGACCAGGTCTCACACGCCACAGACACTCTATCACGAGATGCATACTCCTCCGACATGCTAAGGTTATGAGCTGGGTTGCTATGTTGCAAGTTTTGTGAGGTGCTTTTGTGATATTGAATTGATCGGATTACATTTTTTATTTCTCTCCGATATCCAATCCAGTAATTTAGGTCAGTATCGGACCGATACGTAATATCGGATCGGTCCATCTCTACTTATGTTGAGGAAGAAATCCCCTTAAAATGGGTGTTTCAGCAGGACAATGACCCCAAACACACCAGCAAGCGGGTAACATCCTGGCTGCAGACCGAAAAGACTGATGTAGCGAAGTGGCCAGCCCCTTCTCCTGACCTCAATCCGATTGAGAATTTGTGGAATGACCTCTAAAATTCTGTTTTTGATGCAAAACCCAAAAATGCAGAAGATCTGTGGATTGTAGTCCAGTCAGCCTGGGCTGCAATTTCTGTTTGCAGGTGTTAAATGTTAGTTGACTACGTGCCACACAGATGCAAAGCAGTGACCAGAAATAATGGTTATACACCTAAATAATCAGTGCTTAAAGGAAAAGCAAAATCCTCATTTTATTTTCAGTTTATACTGTAAATATTCCAGTTTGTAAATTACATTTTTTTAAACAACCCATTGTTTTTCTTCATTTTCAGTTAAAAAAAGAAGAAGAGAAGAACAGACAAAAATGTTATATGGTCCAGTGGTTCTGGACATACAACACTCACACACTCACACAAGTAGGGTCTTGAAGGGGAGGTCATGGACTGCATAGGTTACAGTGTGTAAGGCTATTCATGTGGCTTTGCTTGTTCCTCATGACCCTCCTCCCTCCTTAATAACTGGTAATAGTGACAGAGGGAATAGTGACAGATGTGCCAAGTATAGTATGAAGGAGGGGGTTGATGGATGTGTTGCAGGTTGAACTTGAAAGGCTTGGGGTTGAAGTGGGATTGCAGAGGGAGGAAGTAAAGGTGGAAGAGTTAAAGCTGGGATTGATAAAGGAGGGAAAGGCAGATGAGTCATTAATTACTGGGAAGAGAACTCAGTGTAATTGTTATTACACTGGGGTTAATCTAGTTTAGCCCACTGAAAGCTCTCACCACCTGAAAGCCCCCCTGAAAGCTTGTGTTGATCTTGAGCTCGCGGTGGTATCAGGTCATGCAGATACTTTTAGTGACATGACACATCACTAGAGTCCGAGACAGCAATCATGTAATTCATAACCATTTTGTTTCCCAGTTTCTACATAAGGGTATCAAATAAAGATTGTTAGTCATTTCTACTGTGTTTTTATTTAAAAACAAAACAAAGCAAACAAAAACATCTACGTTATGCTTAGTTAAAATCACATCATTTCATACTCAAATCTGAACAAACCACCCAAACCCAGTGCCTTTGTGCATACAGGAATTTGTAAAACTTTATCATGTTTGGTTTTTTTCCTTTCCTTTTTTTCTAAATATTTGCAAATGTACCCTACGTACAGCACAGATGTCCTCTTAGGACAATAAGTCCTTAAGGCTGGTGGGTATAAATTATGGTCAGACATTGTGGAGCGTGAGTCAGTATTAACCCCAAGCAGCGGCTACATTAATAAACAACACAGACGAGAGTGTGTAATCAATTGTCACCTTGAGGCAACTGCATTTGTGCTTTGGTCCTGTATGAATAAAACTGAACTGAACAGAAGTTGCCCTACTACAGGAATGTGATTTAAGTAGTGGTAGCAAGGGTAAATCTGATGTGATTTGTGTATTGGAGGATTAGGTGAGCACACAGTACTCTCTGAAACATGGATTAAAGTTCAAAGTGGGTCACACAAGAAGATTGCATCTTATACAGTATTCCTGGGAGCTATGCTTTTGTTTTCTTTTGTTTTTTTGAAATAAACCTGCTTTTCAGGCCTCACAGGTAATGATGAATTAACAAATCCTGAGACTGAATGTTATGGTTAGACTGATTATCCATAGCTATAAATTAGGCATCAGTATAATGTGTGAAAGAAAGACTTTAAAGTTTATCTTTCACACAATTTAAAAAAAGAAATTGCTGCAAAAGCATTACATTCTAAATAATTTTCCAAAGACAGAGGAATAAGTGGCATCCGTCTGGAAACTGACTGTAAGGGTGCTTGCCTTTTTCATTAAAAACATTTTTGTGTGTTATTGTGAAAAAAAAGGAAAAGAAAAGAAAGAAAGAAAAGAAAAGTTGATAAGATCAAATACAGAAATGATAATTAAAAAATAAATCTGTTTTGACCCCCCCCCAAAAAAACAAACAAACAAACAAACAAACAAACAAACAAACAAACAAACAAAACAAAAACAAAAACAAAAAACAGTCATGCAATTGAGCTCAAACAAAGCAGTGTTAGAGTCTGGAAAGAATATAAATGTTAGTGTCTATGTTTTGATATGATCAGCCTTGCAATGGGATCAGTGATGCATTGTGTATCAGTAATTTATCCAAGCTCTGTATTCAAGTACAGTTCTCAGATACTTATACTTTTTTCTCCCTGCTACTTCATTCTTTCATGTCACATTTTATTAAAAATATTGATTCCAAAATTGTTTTCATTACAATCACCTGAAAATTGATATCACCTCTGTACTGCTACTTCACAGAACTTCTTCCAAGACAAGGTGAAAACACTGAGAAGTTAACAGTGTATTAGAAAGAATTGCCACTCTCTACAGACTGGTAAAGCAAAACTAAGTAAATCCATTCGCAAACAGACAACGCTCATTATCATAATGTTAAGTTGAACAAAAGAAGACAAAATGAACAGACTACAGCAAATGTAGTTTTAACAGTCCGAGTACTAATCAAAGGGGACCCAGATGTATCTCCCTGTGCGGGATAGGTTCAAATTAAGTGTGACCAATGTTTCAAGTTCTGAGGTAACAATATAAGTATATAAGATAAGATAACCTTTATTAGTCCCATGCGTGGGAAATTTGTTTAAAAAAAAGTGAGGGGAGAGCGCGAACACAGTCCCCCACTACCACAAATTATGCAGTTGAGATTCCCGCATTTGGGGAATTCACAGGGGTCAGCACAACCGCAGTGCTGGGTGAGCCACCTTCGTGATCATGGTATCTCCCCTGCCAGGTAAGTATAAATATATATCAATAAATATATATAAAAGTATATGTTTACCTTACTATTTCTGACTCACATTTTCAGGTTTCAAGGAACAGAAACTGAAATGTGTTATAAACAGTGTACATACAATTCTCCGACAGTGGGGGAAATAATGATATCATTACCTGCTGTATTTATAGGTTCACTCACTTACAAACAAATAAACAGTCTCTAATTTTATGGAAGTTTTATTTTAATGGAGAGAGAATATCAACCAAAATTCCACAAATTACAACCAATCAATCAATTAAAGATAATCCTGATGTCAACTATGTATGAAGTACACCGGTCTACAAAATCAGGTTCCTTCAATTTCCATTCTAACCGCTTCACCAAAGAGCTGTCAAAGGGCACCATGAACAGAACTATAGACTTGCAAAATGCTAGAACAGGCTACAAGACCATCAACAAGAAGTTTGGTGAGAAGGTGACAACTGTTGATGCCATTATTGAGGAATAGAAAAATATAAAATGACCGTCAGCTGCACTCAGTCTTGCTCTCTATGCAAAGTCTTGGCTCGTGGGTTGAGGGTGATCATGAGAAAGTGGTTGTAGGAGCCATTTTTTTGTGTTGGTACATTATGTATGCCATTAGGGGTTACCTTTTGTGTTTTACGATATGGTGTGTTGATGGGAATGTATTTAGGGTGGACACACGTAATTAGCGGCAGGTGTGTTGTTGTTCAGAAGGAGCAAACGGTTTATGATAAATGGTGTTGGATAAAGAGAACTGTTGACAACAAACGCAACTGATGGAAGTGGAATACAGATTCTAAACGAACAAGATAAGTACGGCTGGAGTTATCGGACTGTGATAAGTTTCATTCATAACAGTGGCATCGCGTCACCCCAGCCAACGAACACCTCAGTGGCTTCAAGCGTGGGCTCAGCCTCTACAGTGGTGGATCAGCCCCAAACTACACAGGAGAAGCTTGTTGATTATCTGAAGGCAGTTGGAACCACAGTTACCAAGATCACAACTGGTAACACACTATGCTATAATGGTTTGAAATTTGCTGTGCTCACAAGGTGCCCCTATGCAAAAATGCAGACGTGTAGGTCCATCTTAAGTTTGTAAGACACCATTTAAAGGATTTAGAGAAGGCTTGGGAGAAGGTGCTGTGGTCAGAATAAAACCAAAATAGATTTTTTTTGGCTTCAACTCAACCCACCATCTTTGAAGAAAGAAAATCGTATGACGCAACTACCATGATCCCTCCCACTCTTAACCGCATTGGAGGACTCTGGGTTCAGTATCTTACCCAAGGGTACTTTGGCATATAGACTGGAGTAACAAGGGATCGAACCACATTGCTTGCAACTAGTACGTCTTGTGCCACATCCACCCTTGTTTAGAGAGTTTCTGTAAAAGGGAGTGGCCAAAATCCTGAGATAAGTACAAACCTAGTCACCAACTACAAGCAACATCTTAACACTGTACTTGCCAACAAGGGTTTTTCCACAAATTAATGAGTCATGTTTTGCTTGAGAATCAAATACTTATTTTACTCAATGACGTGCACATCAGCTGATAAAATTTAACTACCATACATTTTAGAGCCTGTTGTAAATGAGCAAACTTAAATTTTTTTTACCCCACTACAAATGAGGATTTTTCTTTATGTGTGAATCATGCAAAAGTACCCTGGAGTGGAGTACCAGAATAAAAATGTACAAACACCAACTTGAACTAGGTTTGCTATTTTACGTACCTTTGCTTTATGCTAAGCTAAATCAATTATGTAAATAAATAAAAGAACTAATCTGTCAAACTGTATATCTGTCAGAAATGTATACAGCACGTAAAATAACTATTGAACAAGTCATGAGTTTACTAAGTAAATATATTTCTGAAAGTGCTATTGACATACAATTTTCACCAGATGCTGGTAATAACACATTTCAATCCACACAAGGTAGACAATAATAAGGTAGACCCTATTATTGTAGGGTCTACCTTACAATATAAAGCGCCTTGAGGCAACTGTTGTTGTGATTTGGCGCTATATAAATAAAATTGAATTGAATAGAGCTAAAGAAATCAAACCACAGATGTCATAAATTATGTGTAAAATGAAAAATGACACAGGGAAAAAGTATTGAACATGGTTACTGAAATGTATTTATAAAAGCTGTTGGTGGTGGTGATGACAGCTTCAAGGCGCCTCCTGTATGGAGAAACAGGAGGTGAAAAGTTGCATGTATTGCTCAGGTGAGTTTCTTTCATACAAACAGTCTTCAAATCCTGAAGGTTCTGCGGGCCCTTTCTGTGAACTCTGAGCTTTAGTTCTCGCCATAGGATTTCAGTTGGATTCAGGTCAGGTTATTGACTGGATCATTCTAGCAGCTTTGATCCCAAACACACAGTCAAGGAAACTCAGCTGGTTTCAGAAAAAGAATATATCTCTTCCTGAGATATCCAGCTTCCATTCATTCTTCCTTCAGCTATGTGAAGCGTGCCAATGCCGTATGATAAAAAACATCCCCACGCCGTGATGTTCCCACCTCCAAACTGGGGGGTATATGCATTGCCTGTTGATCTCAAAACATGATGTGTACTATGGCATCCAAAAAGTTCAATTTTGGTCTCATTTGTCCAGACTATATTTCCCCAGTATTTCACAGACTTGTTTAAATCTTGTTCAGCAAATTTTAAACACAATTCAACATGCTTTTTTATCAGCAAAAGAGTGCGTGGATAAAGACTGTGGCTGTGAAGTCCGTTGCTTATCGTTTCTTTGAAACAATTCCACATCTTTCTGCTGCTCTCCACAAATGGTCCTTGAGTCTTGGACAACTCGTCTGATAATTTCTCTTACTCCTCTGTCTGAAATCTTGAAGGGAACACCTGGTAGTGGCTGCTTTATGGTGAAATTATATTCTTTCGGGATTATGGTCCCAAGAGTGCTCCTGGGAACCTTCAGTAGTTTAGAAATTCTTTTGTAACCAATGCAACAATAAGGCTGCAAAGATCTCAAGATCGTTTTAGCCGTCATGAGATGTTTATTGCGCGACTCCTTGGTAATAAGACACCTTTTTATAAGGCCTTCAGTTGGGACTGAGCCCGCTGATATTAATTTGCAATAGGTGGCAGGATTGCTGATAGATTTCAGCTGGTGTCATCACTTTACGTGGCTTTCTTGCACCTCCCATTGTTCATGTGTTCAATACTTTTCCCACGTGTCATTTCTCATGATTATACATAATTTATGGACACATATTATTGGATTTCTTTGCATGTAAGGATTGGATGGGTTGTTACAGGCATCTGGTGAGAATTTCATGTCAGTAGCACCTTAGAGACATATTTACTTACAACATTGGTGAAGTGTTCAATAATTTACTCACTGTATCTTTGTAGGAACTATCTGCTTAAAATACAGTAGTGTTGTGATGGATGAATTCACACACATCATAGCACAATCAGTCTAATGTTAACTTCTAGTTACCTACATGATTAATGTCAATCATTGCTCTGAAATTAATTAAAAACAAAAAATCTATCATGTCAAAATATGTATATGAAAACAATGTTCACTTAAGGCGGTTCAAGTTGATTACATCACTGGTAAAGCTTTCTATGTTTTAAAGTTCTTTCTAAGAAAAATACATATAGGAAGATATTATATTCCATGTCTTGCAGCATTCACCAACCAGTTTCTGTGTAAGCCCTGTTTCCTGCAACTTGCCTGCAATGACACATGGATCCAATACTGGTGCAAATAAATAATAAAACATTAAACAAATAAAATGTGGTGAATTTAAAAATCCTATAAATAGATAATCAAAATACTTTGTTCAGCAACAGTAATGAATTGTACTTTTAAAGTACTTTTAAAGTTCCAACTGCTTTGGACAAATTCAGATACATGACTCAGTCAAATCCAATGACTACAGAGGCAATAGCAGCCAAATTATATTCTCTTAATCTTTTTAGTCATGACAGTTGAGAGGTTCAGGTTGAAGTGTGTTATTCCAGGAAGCCTGGACAGGGGCTGGTTGCAGAGAGACAGGCTAGATTTAACTGTCCAAAAGTACTTTTGTTGTGCAAAATCTGCCGGTTAAACTTCCATCTAAATGAAGAGCAACTCCAACAAATCACAAGAAAATGAATAAATGTTTCTTTCCACAAATGATATTTAAACATTGGGACCTAGCTGCTCACTGATTCACTGGTCAGTGATACTAAACAATTGCAGAAAATGTGCTTATATGTTTTACAGATCAAACTGTGAAAAATAATGTGAAAAACCTTGACAAATTGAAAAAAATAGAAAACAGATTTTTTTGCAGGGTCTATACCCAACAACATAACATGCCTTGGGGCAACTGTTTTTGTAATTTGGGATTATATAAATACAGTAGAATTGAATTTAATAGAAACAGAAAACAACCATATTATTACCCACAGAGTATATTGCAAGAGTTCTTAGCAAGAGTTACCCCAGTTATCATGTTGACTTGGTAACAAAGGGATAGACCGTTGCTACTAATAGTAAACAACTAAGTTACACATGTTAGACAGAGTGAACAAAATAAAATTGAATAGAATATCAGTCCATCAAACTTCACCCATGTCAGACAATCTGACATATCTGATAATCACAAGTGAAAGTACCTTAACTGCAGATAGTGCAGTTCCATCAGGTAGTTGAGTTAAGGTTTATATGTGAGCCAGCATGAATGGCAGAGGTCTGAAATTTGCTCACCTAAATGGAATAAAAATTGTTTTTCATGGTATGTGTTACACCTGTACTTGATCTTTAGAAGCCAAAATATCTGCTGTGAAAACAGTCTGTTTTAAAAAGTCCAAATGAACATTTGAGGTGGAATAAACCACTTAGATTATTTGTAAACTTGTAAACTGAGCTAAGTTCTATTTATTAAGGTGAAACTGTATATTACTGAAAGACCAACAAGGACAAAATTCAGTGGTGAGAGATTGTAGATGAAACTTTCTGCTGAAGTTACCATAAAACAGAACAAGATGCAAACAAGAATGTATCCAGGAAACTGACATCTTTGTCAAAGAGCTAAAAGTATCACCAGTGTTACCCTTAGGGTGCTGTAGCAAGCTTTTTAGGTTCAAGATGAACCTGTTTATTAGAGCAGCGGTCCCCAACCTTTTTTGCGCCACGGACCGGTTTATGTCCGACAATATTTTCACGGACTGGCCTTTAAGGTGTTGCAGATAAATACAACAAAATAAAACCAGTACCGGTACCAAAAAAAAAAAGATTTATTCATAACACACGGGAAAAGACCCAGGGAAACCGAGTTAACTATAAAAAATAACAATAAAAACCGATAAAAGCCCTGAAGACCATAAATTTCACACCCGAGCCTCAACTCTTGCAGCCTGGTACCAAACGGCTCACGGCACCGGACCGTGGCTCGGGGGCTGGGGACCGCTGTATTAGAGTGAATGTGCAACCAGCCCCATGAGTTTTCTCTCAGCGTGACTTGGGTACATATTAGCTTGTGAGGCAGGAACAGGTCTTTTGCTGCCATGATGCCAGGTCTCTCTTGGAAATGAGTTTTGAATATCAGTGAGATTTTTACCTGGATAAATAAAGGATTCATTAATAAAAATTAAAAAATGAGCTATATCGAATGTCCAGTCCAACAATGAAATGGGTAGATGTAGTATTCACTCCCAGATGTCTTTGATAGGCCATCCTGGCAAACTTGAACAGGTAAACCTCAGGCTTACGTCCAACAGAACGGTTTCACAGTAATTTTCTTTCACTACTATAATTTGAGCTAAAATTCTCAACAGTACACACACCAGTAGATCAGGTTGAAGAGGATATATGAGCCTGGGAAAATCATACGAGAATATGTGTCAATGGTGTGGGTGTTCTGAATGATCCGGAAGCCACGGATGCCCTTCTTCTTGGTGCCAGTGGACTCGTTGTCCAAAGACAGATGCACTACCATCTGTTCCTGTTTATCTGATATGTCCTCGGCAACCATCGAGGCTCTTGTGTATCCCGCCAGACTGTTGGCATCTTCCTCACTGTATGTCCCATCAAGCATCATGGTCTTGGTATGGGGCATGCCACATGTGCAAGGGAGTGTCTGGGACTAGGTGAAATAGACAAAAGGAATCATAATTAAAAAGGTTTGATCACTGTTTGAGATGTGTGAGTTTTGAAAAAGGTGCCTGTACCTGTTCCTTAACCTTTTCTCTGAGTTTGCGGTCTTTCCCATCCCTCAAAGTTGTCAGGTAGTTTACGGCAGCGTATTCTAGCACAGACAGGAAGACGAAGACAAAACTGACCCAGAGGTAAATGTCCACAGCTTTGATGTAGGAGACCCTGGGCATGGAAGCATTCACTCCAGTAATGATGGTGGACATGGTGAGCACCGTAGTTATACCTGAAGAGCATACAAGGTCTTGTTAGCGCAGCAGTCAATGAACTACAACAGAAGGTCATTTTAATGGCCAAAAAGAGCTAACTGATTTCCATTTTCACATTTTCACATCTGATGTCCTTAGGAAACATATTCAGTTTTAGCAGGCAACAGTTACAATGATGCAGATCCTCTTACCTAATGAGACTCTGGCAGGGACAGCCCTGCGGTCAATCCAGAAGGACACCCAGGACAGCATCACCATTAGAGTAGCAGGGAAGTAGGTCTGCAGTAGAAAAAAGAAGATGTGACGCCGCAGCGTGAAGTTGATGTACAGACGGTTGTACCAACCTGGAGATAGAATAAGTGAGGAATAAGTAAAACACAATATACTTTTCGCTTTATGTGTTAGAGGTAAAACAGAAAAAAACAAGGTATAATGACAGAACATGAGGAAATTAACAATCAATTAACAATTAAAAGCTCTTGAAAGCTATTTGCTCTTTCCTTAGGTTGGAATGGAAGAAATTGCTTCTTCTCATGTGCTTTATAAACATAACAAGTTGAAAAGAGGAGTTTCTGTAATTAATTGATTGATTGCAGTGTTGTGTGGTGGCGTTTACAGAAAGGCAAGCAGAGACGATTATTAGCAACTTTATCACAGTCTATCTTCTCTGCATCATACATGTTAGGCAAGGTGGTTATTTAGAAGTAGAATGGGACTCAGATCCTTCAGTTTTCAGGCTCCTCTTCTATGGAACCAGCTTCCAGTTTTGATTCAGGAGACAGACACTATCTCTACTTTTAAGAAAGAACTAGTGGCAGCAGATGGCCCCGCCCCTCCCTGAGCCTGGTTCTGCTGGAGGTTTCTTCCTGTTAAAAGGGAGTTTTTCCTTCCCACTGTCACCAAAGTGCTTGCTCATAGGGGGTCATATGATTGTTGGGTTTTTCTCTATATGTCAGGGTCTACCTTACAATGCAAAGCGCCTTGAGGCGACTGTTATTGTGATTTGGTGCTGTATAAATGAAATTGAATTGAATTGAATGAAGGTGGTTAGCAACTGCAAACTTATCTGTTCTGCTGCTAAATCACTGAATCTTATTTACTTGCTAATGCTAGCTGAGTTTCCATAACACATTGAAATTGATCTAAGAGCAGCAAAAGTCTTAAGTTCCTTGAGGCAACTGTTGTTGGGATTTTGGACTATAGAAATAAAACTTAATTGAACTAAAAGCTGAGCTAATGGCAGCTTGCCTCGCGTGCTCCTCTCTCATCAGTTTACACTCGAAGACCAGAGATTTATCCACAATGCACATGTGCAAACCACCAGAATAAAGTTGCTGGCCTCTCAGCCTAGCCAGCTCCAGTCATTGTTACTGGGAGATGGACATGCCCTAAGAGACAGAGACACACTTTGCTACGAGATGAAATATGCACAGCTTCCAGCTGCAATATCTGACTGTGGCCACAAGATGGCAGTAATGTAAGAGCCAGATGTACATATCAATTGATAGACTAGGACTTTTTGACAGAACTGTCTGAGATGAAAATTGCTCTACTTTGGTAAGTTTTAACATATAAATTTGTATTTTTAGGTTTGACAAGGCAAATGCACTTGTACTAATGTACTGATGGATAGCCACTCTAATCTGTTTGCCACATGGGCACACAGCCTACCTGTGGGAACCAGAAATCTGGCTGGGTTTTAGGGGATCTACTTATTACTTACCTATGTATTTTACTCAGAGACATCCAAATTCATTTATAACTTTGTTATGTTTGCATTGTGTTGCACTGTTTATTTATCTTTCTGTTGATATTCTGGCTCTTCATTAAATGAAACTACCATAAAAATAAGATATTTTTTTATTTCTTTGTAAGTCTTCAAACTGACAAATTTAGCAAGGAATCAAAGAGTTTTTTCTCTCCACTCTATGAACATGTTTTGGGATTTTTTTTTTTAACTTGCCCCACTGAGGTTCAGCTCAGTCAGCAGGATGACTTCTGACTGTAATAGCTGGATCTGGCTGAGCCATCAGCAGACATCAGAGGAAATATGTAAACCTCTCCCAACTTAGTTTGGCTTAGTTTACTGATTAAACATGAAATTAACTCTAGAATCTCTCCCAGATAATCATAATGTTGATGCTAAAACACGACTTTCATATATGGTAGTTTACAACAACTTCAGATTATTTCCCCTAAATCTTTGGTTTTTGTGGAGCAGCTGTAATAGTGACCAATCTAGTATTACACAAAATATGTATGTGTAAGTGAAATCTGGGTTTGTTTTCCTTCTCAACCTGTGCTGCTGTAGAAAGCCAGCCTGGAGGTAGTGTGAAACTTCTGAATCAGGAACTGAGACAGAGAAATCCTGTCATCTGTGCTCAGGGACTCATCGCCACTTTTCCAATAAAGCATCAGGTCCTCATCTGTGTAAGCATCTGCAGGACAGAAAGTAGGAATGGAAAAAGCAGTCATCCGAATGAACATAGCTGGACCTGGATAAGCAAACAGAGCAAATTCATAAATTCAATAAAAGCTTGTATTCTGCTGATGGCTGAGTTTCAAATAAGAACTAAACTAATACTAATACTAATAATCAATTCATAATTTAGTAACCAAAGCCCCTTTTTTGTTGTAGGTTTGCTCATTTACACAAAAATAAACAGTCTCTAATTTTTATGGTGTCTTTTTAATGAAGAAAGACAGAATATCAACCAAAAAGCTGGCAAGACCAAAGAGCTGTCAAAGGATATGAAGAACAAGGCTGTAGCTCTGTATGATGTTATAGAGGGCTACAAGACCATCAGCAAGAAACTCGGTGCGAAGGTGACACTTGTTGATGCAATTATTTGAAAATGGAAGAGTGGAGCTCAATGCAAGATTTTACTTTATGGGGTGAAGACGATTATGACAAAGGTGGTGGATCGGCCTAAAACTACACGGGAGGAGTCTGTTAACGATCTGAAGGCAGTTGGGATCACAGTCAGCAAGAATACCATTAGTATAATACACTACACTGTAATGGACTGAAATTTTACAGCACCTAAAAGGTCTCCCCGCTCAAGAAGGCATCTGTGTAGACCCACCTTAATTTGGCCATGAACATCTAAACGATTCAGAGAAGGCGGGGGAGAAAGCGCTGTGGTCAGATAAAACCAAAATCGAGTTCTTTGGTATCAGCCGTGTTTGCAAAGAGAAATGCTGGGAATGACCCAAAGTCTCCTCCCCACAGTTAAACACAGATGTGGAAACATCATATTGCGTGACTTTTTTCTGCTAAGGTAGATGACGACTTCACTGCATTGACACCGCAAATCTTGGATGACACCGTCCTTCTAGCACGACAGTCACCTAAACCACACCACAAGGCAACAAAGGAGTGGCTAAAGAAGAAGCAAATTAACATCATGGAGGTGCCTAGCCAGTCTCCACTTTTGGTTTGGATTTTTGGTTGACATTCTCAAACTGTTAATTTCTTTGTGAGTGAACTTAGAGATTTAGCAGGGGATAAAATTATTATTTCCCCCACTGCATAGCAGCACAAGAAGGAGTCTCATGGTCTAAGAATACTTACAACTCTCCAGCTCCAGTGTACATGTCTGTGAGTCCAGAGGGAAACGACTAAAATCCATGTTGCAAGCTGCAGTAACTGTTACTCTGTGGAATTAAAGCACAATATAAACCTTAGTAACTCTAGACAGGGGGCCCTTTCTTGCAAGGCATTTGTTTCCTGTCTTCACCTCAGACTGTACAGAACATGACCATCTGGGAAGACCCTTAACATGATGTTGTCAGTAGTGGTGTCGTGGATGAAGGACCTCTTGGAATGGACAAAGAACACATCAGGTACCCATATTTTCTTCACCAGGCGACCATCAAAGGTCATGCTTTTGTTTGTAGCGCTTGGGAATGCCAGCCTTTCATCTTTCCAGTAGTGCCTCAGGTACAGAGTCATGGTGAAGTCCTGAGATAATGGGAGAAAGAAGACAGCATCGGAATGAAAGGGTCTTGCTATCCCTAATTTATTTAATTTTTCCTGGGATTACATCACTGCAGCCAGTGGCTGCTGGATTATTGAAGTTGTTTACAGATAAATGTACAGTAAGCCAAAATGCTGAACATATGTTAACCAAGTACAGTCCACAGGCTTCATTTGGTCCTAGAATACCCTCGTTTTTTTCCTCCTTCATCCTCGACGTTGCTCTGCAGGCAGGAATGGTTACGCCCGTGCATGCCCCCCTCCACACCACAGATAATCTTTTGTCCTGTTCTCATAGTATTACAATTATATAACAACGGATTTATAATGACTAATGACTGTAGCAACATGTACTCTTGGCACCAAGTGAACAAGTACCTTTGATGTTGCATAAGACCAGTTTAAGGGCATGTCTGAGACTTTCACATGATTAATAACTTATGTCTACTAATCAGAGATGATTCCACCTTTAAAGATCTAAAGTATGTATTCTTGCATATTTCAAGTTCATGGTTTTAATAACCCATTTACTGGTATACTGGGTCATGTTAAATTTTGCTTCATGGTTTTTTTTTTATATATATCTCTGTCAAAAGCAAAATTGCTTTGTAAGAATAAATTGAATTTTCTGTCTTTTATTTATTAAAAATTGGATTTAACAGAAACAAAATAGCACATTTTCTCATGTCACTGAATACTGTGCTGAGGGTTTTTGTTGCTACAGTCTGGTACAATTTAGTGTCTAATGCTACCTAATAACAGTGAGTGTTAGACAGCAACTGCTGGAGTATTACAGAGCATGTTTTCTGTCTTTATGGCTGTCATTAAAGCACACTGAATGGCTTGCATTAAGCAATGAAAAGTAAACTCTGGCCAGAAATATACAGTATATTATGTTGTCTAACAGTGGGTTCAGTGATATACATGAAACACGACAGACAGTGACTACATCCATCCATTCATGTTCTTCCACTCATCCAGGCTGGGTTGCAAGGACACCCAGACCTCCCTCTCCCCAGTCACCTCCTCCCGCTCATCTCCCGCTCACAGAGGCATTCCCAGGCTAGCTGAGAAATTGAATTCCTTCAGCATGTCCTGGGTCTGTCCCGTGCCCTTATTCTAGTAGGACATGCCCAAAACACCTCACCCAGGTAGTACCCAGGTATGATCACAGCTGAGGGATCAGAGTGCAGACTGACTGGTAAATCTTTGTTATTATGCTCTTTATCACAGCGGACCAATGCAGCATCTGCATCACAGTAGCCATAGTCCCAATCCATCTGTTATTCTCCCACTTCCTTCTTCCCTGACTCATGAATAAGACTCTGAGATACTTAAACTCCACTTGGGGCAGTAACTTGTCCCTGGCCCAGAGACTAAAATGACTCCGTTTGTTAAAATTGTGAAGTGACACACAAGCGCGGTCAGTTTTAGTTCAAAATTACATGCCAAGAGCCGCATTATTTAGCATAAGGTCACAAACAATGAAATTTACCACCAGGACAAGTTTTACTGCTGCTGGTATTGTTTTGGTTGGAGGTCATCTCTAAGTTAAATGAGAAAATTTAAAATCAGGAAGTTTGGTAATCCATTTTCTTTTATAACATCTTCATCTGACATTCCAAAGAAATTGGAGAAATGTCTAACTCTTCAAAGCACGCACTCTTAAACCTTTGCAATGCCTCTTCCACACAGCAGTAACTGCTGCAATATCAAGCTCAAAAATTAAGACGTGCCTTTTTAGCATTGAAAACTGGCACAATTAGCAGTTGAGTAACTAATTTACAGAAATGCTTGTGCAATATGGTCAGTTTAAAAAAAATCCAGTTTCCATTTCTTACACACAGTTGTCCATGTTCTCTTTGCAAATACCAACAATACTTTCTGCACAGCAGTTTAAACTCACACACCTCCAAAGATACAGCTGAAATTAATCCTGACAACAGTTTTTGCCTTGTGTACTTCAGACTGTTTTCAGTGTGTAGGACAGATTTGGGCTGGTTGGCACGTTGTTTATTACCGCCACACTAGAAGGCACTGTGAAACTTTGTTGATATCACATATTTAACCATTACGAGCTGTCCATTTTACAGCGATCATTTTGTAAAACAAAAATAGACCGAGTTGAGGAGGTATTCAGAGTAATTTCACGTGTTGTTGTGTGTGTTTTTGGTTTTTGTTATTAAGAGCTTTGGCAGCATTAGACACTTAATAATAAGGTAAAGCCATGGTTAGGATCAGTTTGGTGCTATATAAATAATATTGAATTGAACTACAGAACACTGACCTGTTACTACCAAAAAACATCTACCGAGAAGAAGTGAATTAAACCATTTCATATGTGCAAGTTGGCACATAAACAATTGTCAGTTTGTCGGCACTAATCAAGAAAAACTACTGGAAAGCTCCATCATTAAGGCCTCTGATATTTAATATGACTTTGCACCAACAAAAAATCCATAAGTGTGTATACAACATTGCAGTGGCACAGAAAGTCACAATCTCAAAGCCCTGGAGTAAAACCAGTCAAGCCGAGGCAGACTGGTTTAGTCGCTTCCTCAAACACTGCCCTACTCTTGCCATTTGATCACCACAGACCACAAGCTTCAAGTTTCAACAGGGAGAATTCTGGCATGTTCTTTGACAACCAGGAGCAGATCATGTTGAAATACAGATTTGAATTGAATAACTTGTGGAACGAAGCAGAAGGTGGGGAGGGGGCATCCATCCATTCGCTTCCGCTTATCCTTTTCAGGGTCGCGGGGGGCGCTGGAGCCTATCCCAGCTGTCATAGGGCGAAAGGCGGGGTACACCCTGGACAGGTCGCCAGTCTGTCGCAGGGCTAACACATAGGGACAGACAACCATTCACACTCACATTCACACCTAGTGGCAATTTCGATTATCCAATTAACCTATCCCCACAAGCTGCATGTCTTTGGACAGTGGGAGGAAGCCGGAGTACCCGGAGAGAACCCACGCAAACACGGGGAGAACATGCAAACTCCACACAGAAAGACCCCGGCCTGATGGTGGAATTGAACTCAGGACCTTCTTGCTGTGAGGCAACAGTGCTAACCACCATGCCACCGTGCTGCCCATATCCTTTATTCCCTCCAAATTGCTCACGTAAACTCAATCCCATGGACGGGTCAAAATATGGATCTTTTAAAAAGTATGTCAACTCTGCCCGTGATGCCTGGATTCTGCCAAATGTTATTCTAAGGATTGTGGCCATTTCCTTCCCAATAGCTGCACCCCCTACCAACATCCAGTATCGTTCAGGGTAAGTGGCATCTACCCAATAAATAGAGATATCTTCAGGAATTTGAGTTTGCCCAAAGTTTGTCTTCCAACCTTATCTGGGTTACAGGAGTGCCTGGCTCCTCCCACCTCCACTGAACAGAACAGCTTGGTTTGTGTTGAGCCTTATATCAGTAGCTGGCCCAAGGAAGAATGGCTTTGATGTGTCAATGTGTGTGCCAAAGCTGGACTCTCAGATGATATCAGAAAAAAAATCACAATTTTTACTGATATCTCATTGATAACTCTGGGGACAACCAACCCCAAAGCAAGGTTGGTTGTCACAAAGTGTTAGTGTCACCTAATTAATTTTTATTACAATTAATTACAAAAATTTAAAACATACCCATTTTGAGCCAGAACCTTAAGCCTAATGAAGGAGTAGTTATTGAAGGATGTTTTACTCATCAGCAGTTTATGTAAGAGTAAAAATGCCACCCCTGTTCTACCTACACTTAGCATATTTTAGCCATGGTCTCTCATAAATTAGACTTGGACAATGCTATATTTATTAAGCACTAACAGATAAAATCTACCCCAATTCCAAGGCTTGAGACACAAGTCATGTTAAGCTTGGGTGCTCACGGATAATGACCCTCTGTTTAAAGTCCACATTGTAACACGTTAAGTTGGTGAGACGGGACAGTTTGGTTTGTGTCCTGGGAAATTTGTGTTTGTCATGGTCCCCGTGCCTGCTCGGCTGGCCCTGTGTGGCTACATGTTATGTTTTGTCTTTTCTCTCTCCTCTCTCTCTGCTCGCTGCCTGGGCGGAGCTCATTGTGAGCTCCCGGCCTCCACCACCTGTAGGCAATCACCTGTGGCTCCTCACCTTGTTTGCTCCCGCTACTTAAGGCAGTGACTGAGAGCACCTCGCCGCTGGACTATTGAGTAACGCTCGTCAGTGCTACTTTAGCCTCAGCCAGTTTTGAGCTCTGTCCGTGAAAGTTCTGTGCTAACTCTTGTTCTCTGTATGCAGATTTCTCGTGTTTGGTTTGGAGACTCTGGACGCTTTTCCCGACCCCTCTCTGCACCCCTGGGAACCCTGGCCCCCTTCTCCTTCACCTGTATATAGTGCACCTGGAGTGTGTAAATAAACCTGTTTTTCTGAGATTTCAGTCTGCGCCGAGTCCTCCCTGCTCCTCCGTGACAGTGTTATGTTGTGTGATTAGTTTCATTTTTAGGCACTAAGAACTGCTTAGCAAGATTATGGCATGGTTGAAAATTTGCCCCTGGCTGCACATGATACTTATGCTGTGTGTCTAATTGAGGCACCAAGTGGACTGTTGGGATTATTGCCATAACCTGTTGTGTTTCACACTTCCTTCATTGCAGTAATGAAACCACTTATTTATATAGCTCCAGACATCTGGACATTACTACAGCAGTCTCCTACCAGCTCTGGAAATTTTGATGTCCAAGTCACTGGCACTGTTTTGTGTTTGTGCCACAAATTTAGGTGACGAGATGCTGTGTGCACTACAAGAACCAGCAGTTTCCATAATCACTATTACAGTATTCTAAATGAATGGGGTCACATGTCTGATAACACAGTCAATTTTGCATGTCTCTTAAACTTCAGTGTCAATTAAACATTCAGCCTTACAGGTACTTTATCCAAATACTTGTTAAGCTACATTTTGTGTAATGCAAATTTACATTTAATGCATTTAAAATACTTACCATGTCTACCTCTGATATGCTGTCCAAACTCTCCACCTGAACGTCCACCCCAACAGGGACAGCTGGGCCTTCAGATATAAACAAACAAATCTGAAGTGGTGCCAAAAGTACATACATTCTGTACTTAAGCAGATACTAGTGTTAAAAATACTCCAGTAAAAAGTTGAAGTACTAATTCAACTTTACTCAAGTATGAAAAACTATCGGCTCTGAAATGTACTCAGAGTAAGAAAGTAAAGTAGCTCAGAGTAAGAAAGTAAAGTAGCTCAGAGTAAGAAAGTAAAGTAGCTCCTTGAAGAACATTTTTACCACCTATTTTTATGCACAACTAACTGAATCCTTTGCTATATTAATGCCATGATAAAATAACATTAGTATATAAGAGTACCAACTTTATTTCAGTCTAAATTTTAATTCTAATACAGTTCCTCAGCTTGAATCAGTTAAGTGGAACAAAATAAAAACATAGCTCTGTTTTCTGTTGCCTGCGTTGTAGTGGCTGATTTTGCCTATAAACAGGAAAATGAGCAGGGAAGAGGTTAAAGCAGATTTGTTAAAATCAGTTCAATAAGAACATGTAATTAAAAGAATGAATTGATTTATTGATGAACAGAAGTTAGACAGATGTATTTAGTGGTTAGACTCCAATGGCTCGTATTGGCAGAACGGAACCCCAGCTGTGAAAGGGACAGGGATGTTCAGTGCTCTTTGAGGATTTAACTGAACTGAACAAGATATGAGCAGATGTTTCATGAGGTGTCCTGGCTGATTTCCATCCTCTACACAGACAGTACACTGTTTATGCTTTATATTATACACTCTACAGCTGGTAAGGTTGAATAACAGAACAGCAGAACAGCATGAGAGAGGTGTGGAGTGGCATGAAGACTGTGGAGGGGCATAGCCTGCAGTGTCATGCAGGGAAGGTGGACATACCTGCACGGCATCCGCAATCACTTAAATATGGTACTGGGCCCTGCAGTACTGTTGTTGTTGTCAGTGTGTGTGACTGGCAGCGAAAGAGAGCTGCAGCCAACTGTGTGTATACAGCAACCAGCAAATAAATGATGCTGCAAAGCATGAAGGTGCACCCGAGTCTGCTGTGGGTTTGTTACAAAGACAATCACTGGATTCAAGCCATCCAACAGCAGGGGAGCTGGGGGTGGTGAGGACAGAGCCAACGAGTTGAATGTGCTTTTCAACAGATTCAACACTGCAGTGAATGCTCCCTCTCAACACTGCACCGTTGCCTCCTGTAAGAGTCCTGACACCCCTCCCCCACCTATCACACTAACGACCAGGTTCAGAGGCAAATGAGGAGACTCCACTCAGGCAAGTTTGCTGGACCAGACGGGGTGAGTCCTCATGTTCTCAAGGCTTTGTCGAGTCTTTCATAAACTGTTCATGTTGAGTATGAGTCTGCAGAGGGTCCCAGTGCTGTGGAAGATGTCATGCCTCGTCCCTGTACCAAAGACGCCACGTTCCAGTGGCCCCAGGATTACAGGCCTGTGGCACTGACTTCCCACATCATGAAGATCTTGGAAAGACTCATCCTTGACCAGCGACCTATAGTCAGACCACATCAGGATCCCCTTCACTTCAGAGGAGCTGAGGACACCATCATCTACCTACTCAGTCGTGTCTACACCCATCTGGACCAGCCAGCGAGCACTGTGAGGGTCATGTTTTTCGACTTTTCCAGTGCATTCAATGCCATCAGACTAATCCTTCTGGGTGATAAGCTGACAGCGATGTAGGTGGATGTGTCTCTTGTGTCCTGGATTGTTGATTATCTAACAGGAAAACCACAATGTGTGCATCTTCAACACTGTGTTTCTGACAAGGTTATCAGCAACACAAGGGCACCACAAGGGACCATCCTCTCCCCCTTCCTCTTCACCCACTACACCACAGACCTGCCTGCACAGAGACCTGCCACCTTCAGAAGTTTTCTGAAGATAGCACGAGCAGAATCATCTGCAGCTCAATGTGACAATGACCAAAGACTTGACTGCGGACTTTAGGAGGACCAGGAAACCCGTGACCCCTGTTGTAATCCAGGGGATCGATGTAGACATTGTGGAGGACTATAAATACTTCAGAGTACACATAGATAATGAACTGGACTGGGTTAAAAACACCACTGCACTCTACAGGAAGGGCCAGAGTCGTCTCTGAGGACTTTGAACATCTTTTGGACAGTGCTCAGGATTTTCTATCAGTCTGTTGTGGCCGCTGCCATCCTCTATGCTGTTGCATGCTGGAGCAGCAGGTTGAGGGTTGCAGATGCCAACAGACTCAATAAACTGACGACAAGGCCAGTAATGTTGTGGGGACGGAGCTGGACTCGGAGACGCAGATGTTGTCCAAGACAAGGACAATGTTGGACAATACCTCCGACTCGCTCCATGATGTGCTGGCCAGTCACAGGAGCATGTTCAGTGGGAGACTTAGATTACCCATAATGCACCACTCAACATCACAGGAAATCATTCCTGCATGTGAATATCTCTGTACAACTCCTCCATCTAATGCACAGTACACAGTGCAATAGTTACACACTCTTTTGCATATGTTCTACAGTAAAATAACAAATAACAACGTTTTACAGTTTAGAGTAAATGTCTGTTATATATTTAATCTCTGTAATATTCTGGATATTTATAATTGAGCTATTTGTATATATATTAGAGCTATTTCTTATATTTCTTACTGTAATATATTGTATTATTTCATTAGTTCAGTCTGTTATTGTTGTTATCTTGGAGCAGCAGTAACCCACATAATTTCCTTAGGAATTATCAAAGTATTCTGATTCTGAATTTACTGAATGAATCTCAATATCATCAGTTTAACTTCAACTTAATCACTGCTAGCCTTTATGTACCTAACTGACCATGAGCACCACAACTGCTGTGCACCAGTCTGACACACTATTCTTTACTTTGAATCTGTCACAGTACAGCAAACTAACCTGTTTATTGTGCAGTAACCTGCAAAGTATTTTCATGCAACCTTTCAATAGCACAGTCTACCTTCTCAACATGAAAAAATGCAATGACCCATTTGAAATTACCTGCCACTTTATGGTCACTCTTCTTCTATAGGACTAGCTGGTACTGCAACTGCAGTTTATGGAAACATGCAGTTGTTCTGGTATTGTGCCAAAAAATAAAATAAAATAATAACAATGATAATAAATGAATAAATAAACACTGGCCCACTTTAATCTCTGACTATGGCACATCCCTTTCACCCTTGGTGATTAATACATGAACGGGATTGTCTCCTGTGTTACTGTTTAGGCTCCAATCACTGTGATTTTTAAAGTTAAAATAACACATTAAACCAAAGGTAACAAGTCTGTTTTGAAAATGTAAGGAGTAGAAATTACAGATACTTCTTAAAAAATTAAGGGAGTAAAAGTAAAAATTACAGTACAGTTCAAATACTTCATTACCTCCCACCTCTGTAAATAGTATATTACAACACTGGAAATAAGACAATGAGAATAAGTAGAACCTAAAGTACTTTCATTATTGTCTTTAGTCTTTATTGCCCAAGGATAGAAACTGTGCAGGTGCATATCTGTGCACAGAGGAATAAGCACACTTAAAAAGCTATTTACAAATTAATAATAGTGAAGACATCTATTAAAATCACATTGCTTTTGAAACTTTATCCAAAAAGCTAGAACCCTGTGGATACTGTAAATAAAAAGAGGTACAAATGATTTTCTAATATTCTCTATATTCAACTGAAATAATAAAATGGAAAAAGTAACCAGATTGTCACTGACATTTGAAATCCTGCAAACAAATTTTAAATTTGTTGTTAACATATTTCAAAGATGCTAAGACAATGATTACAAGCCCAGGAAACATGCTACCTTAAAAAAAAAAACCTTATTAAGTTCACCTTGACCTTAATAAGTAAGTAATTAATAGTAATAGTTCATCATAATTCAAAAGACTGAACAAGGCCTATACAAAAAGTTTAACCAGTAAATAATAGTATTTCTCATTGCCAAACTGCAAAAAAACTAGATTTCATCATCTATAGTACAAATATTTAGAGAATCAAGAAAAATCTGTGCATAAAGGTCAAGCTGAAATAATTGGCTAGCAGGTAGCACTGCTGTCATGGTCCAGGGTCGCTGATCCAGTGTTTTAAGTTTTTGTTGTAGACTCATTCTTCTTTCTTTTGGATTTAAAAGATGACTTATGGTCAAATTTTGTAATATTTAGTTTTGAGTATAATATTTTGTAGTGCATCTGAGTTCTGTTTTAAGATTTTTGTTTCTTATTTTATTATGTTATATATCTGTCATGTCCAGTCTGTCCCAGCTTCGTCTTTTTGTTTTGTCATCACTGTCTCCTGTGACATGTCAGTCTTGTCTCCTTTTTTATTTACCTTTCTTGTTCCCCCATAATGTCCCTGTATCTTTCTATCTTGTCTCCATGGTCCCTGTTAAACTGTGTCCAGTTTCTATGTCATAGTCTTGGTTGCAGTGTTAGTTTTATTTTGACAGTCCCTCATCTTGTGTGCATTATATTTGGTTTTGCTTCCCCTTGTTTAATTAGTCAGATTCAATTCAGCTGTGTTTGCAGGTGTTGGCACTCTGACATAATCACCTCTTGTTTATTTAAAGCTTGGTTTGCTTCTGTTATTTGTCACGTCCACCCTCAAGCTGTGTCTCTCGCTGTGTGCCTCCAGTTAGGTGCCTCTCGTCAGATTATTTGTTCCTGCTTTATGTTATGTTTACTTTGAAGTTCTCAGCAGTAAAGCTCCTTTTGAATTTTAAATCTTGCTTTGTGAATCCTGCATTTGGGCCCTACTCTCAACACCACACAGTGGAGCCTTGACAACAGCTTTAAGAAGCGACCTAGATCTATATTGACTCAGAAACTCTTCTATAAACTATTGCTTATGAACACAGTTTGTCACTGCATCCACAAATGCAAGTTTAAACTCCAGCAGGAAAACACAAGATCTCAAAGTTGAACACTGTCCTGAAAATGTCTTCCTTTTGGCCAGACTCTGGTCTGACCTAAACGAAGACATGTTGAAAACGATGGACACCGAATCCTGAGGGGTAAGGTCTATGGTGCACTAATGCACATTTGGTAACTTGCACATCTGTAAAGGCAACAATAAAACTGAACTATGCACAGGCATTTTTTTCCATGCTTATATCAGTAAGATGATGACAAACTGGACATCCAACAACATGGCCCCATGGCAAAACAGCATGCCTGCCTACAGTTCCCACTTTAATTATTGGGTACATTTTGAAATTTTAAAAAAAAGAAGCCAGTGAGGGCCCCAAAGTGTTGAGCAGCTGAAATTCCACAACAGACAAGAACTTTTGGCTTTCATAACTACAGCATATTGTCTCATGAATGGGTAAGTGTCTAACTGTTTGTTTCTGATGACACAAACTAAGTGTGCTAAGATCTTCTTTGATTTCAATAGAAATGTGACATCAGATGTGATGCAGTCACTCTTATGATCTGCAAACTTGCTTTCAGTGCATTCCTTACACAATCCTAAAATAACAGGCTGGAGTATCCCGTTAAAGCCAGTAGTAATAACTGGTAATTTCACATGAAAGGTTGAGTTAGGCAGAACACAGCATTCTCATGTTTGTTCCTCTGTGTTGTTTAGCTGATGAGATGATTATATTTAAGGCCAGTCTGGGATTTAGAGGGATATGGAAGAGTATCCTAGCAGGCTCATAACAGATAGACACAAATTCACACAGCAGTCTGTCGTTTCTGTATGAAAGTCACATTGGCTGCTGTGGTGTTGTTAATCTCTGCAGCAGTGAGAGAGTCAGCCTTACATAACTGGTTGCACAGCAAAGCTGCTACCTGGAAGAAGGGATAGTAACTCGTGCCCAGCTCCAGCTGTCAGTGTTCTCCCCTCTCTTACTCACATCATATGTCACATGTCACGTTCTGGACTCACTATAACTCCTCCTGAAGACACGCCCCTTCAGCTGACATAACACTAGATGCCTGCAGAGAAAAAGCCTCAGCTAGCAGTGCTTTTGGAGCAGGATTGCCTAATTTCTGGCTACAGTCAAAGTCCATTTTGAGCCAAACAGAGTGACAAGGAAATAGCGGTGGTCTATCCAGAGGACAAATACAAGTTTTCATGTTCAATAAATTACTGAGAATGTAAAGCAGGTATCCGTTCTTCTTCCAAACATTTATAGACTGATGAGATAGTTGCATGAAGTGTCCTATGTGTGGATTTGCCCACAAATCAAAAGTGCATCATCACTATGGATCCATCATGCTACATTCGTGCTGTGGAAATGTGTTTGATTTCTTATTTTTTGGTATATTTGTCACAAATACATGTTTGAGATCACAAAACAGAGTATGTACAAAATGTGCCACAGTGTTGGCGTGATAGGTTTTCACCCAGGGAACCAGGGTTTGCATTTCCTGTTAGTTTAACTTTTGTTTAAAATTTTAAAAATACATAAACATATATACGTTTTCAGTTACTGTTGCTGTTAGATTGGAGTCATACAACTGTGTAATCTTTTTTGTAAAGATAAGGAAAGTCTAGTCAACTAGTAGACTAACATTTGCTCATTCCACAGTAAAATTATTAAACAGATTTTATTAGTAGTAGTAACGCATATGCTTTTACAAGTTTGTTTCTTGGGATGAGCCTTTCGTTTTCATTTCTCCATTATCATCAGTAAATTTCAGCTCATGTCATAGGGAAAAATACTTTTGCTGTATGGCCTATGGAGCTCTAAGGACCTTGGAAAGAAAAGCGACTGGACTTCTTTAAGTTTCTTGAAGACATTTCACCTCGTATCCAAAAAGCTTCTTCAGATTTAAGGGCAATTGTTGGAGAGTCCCAGGTATTTAAGCCCTAGTGGGGGTGTCCCACTATTATTGACCAACTGCTAATCCTGTGCCTCAGCACATGTGGGGCTGCTATTTATCTAGTTCTTTTGTGTGCTAAATTGACCAAACCCAAACCAAAAAACCAAACCCCTCCATCAATCTTTCCTTTGTTTCTATCTATTCAAATGGTGCAGTGCGGATTTTAAGGAGTGTCTCCCTACATACATAATGTGATTGATTCTGAAGCATGAGTTCATTTTTAAATACTAATCAACTGCTTTTTATTTTTTCACATATCTAAGATTGCAGCTGTAATTTTTCCTAGTCAGCCTTAGTTTTGAGAGCTTGAATTATTATCTTGTCCGTTCACCAGAATAGAGAGAGAAAACACTTTGTCCATTCCATGCTGAACTCTGTGTGGATTAACAACTGTAAATCCACTGTTGGTTGACTGTGCTTAGATTAGACAACTAGGCCTGTGCATTAAGCAGTGATTTTACTCTGCTGCGAACATAGACACAGACAGCTGGAGGAATAATCATTCCTGTTATACTTCTTTGAAGTCTTTGCAACACATGCATATTAAGTGCATTGCATTGCCTGTGGAACATAAAGTCCCCGCTGATGGGGCCGCACATTCCTAAAGAAATTGTCATGCACGTAGATGTCCACTCCAAACCTCATGCTCCATGTCTAATGATGACATTTATGCAAACCTTTGCAGTTCACAGACAATGAAAATGTAACACACAGTAAAACCAGAAAGAAATCCCACTGCAGAGTTCCTCAGAGTGACATTGGTGACATAAAAACCAGACCGTCTCAATACTACAAATAGAACCAATCCATACAAGTGTATCTGCCCTGTTTTGTAGACAGTCATGAAGGTGGAGCTACATAAATACATTGCAGATTGATGTCATATGAAATATTCCAAATATTTCACCAAACTGTCTGCTACTGTTCATCTATTAAATGTGTCTCACCACAGTCCAATGGGAGCAGTGCAGGTGCTTTAATTATAAGCACAGAAACCTTATTAGCTCTCCTTATACACTGCTGACGATAAACCTTGTGTACTGTCACACTCTGATATACATTTTAGAAGCAGTTCAAACACTAAACACTTCTTTCATTAGTTACACTGCAGTCGCTACTTTTAAAGCCAGAAGGGACTGCAACAGCTGGTGCACACTTTGACTTCTTCCTCATTTAAATGACTGCACGAGAGTCTCACAGGAGTCACGTGTTAAAGAGCACAAGTGATCATGGAATGAATCTTTTTTAAACTAAGGGTTATAAGGGTCAGTCAAGAAGGAAAGAGTCAGAGTGGTATCAACATTGACTTTAGGTTGAACAAAATTTGGAGAAATAGACTGGGAGACTATGTTAGTGAAGCGCTGAGCTGACATATCCAGTTGCCTCTGTAGGTTTTCTATATTTCTCAGAAAACACATGTCTTTAAAGAAATCAAGAACACATTACTCTTATCATGATGGAAATTAGCAGCTATTGGAGCTTACCTGCAAATGCGGGCCTCATGGTGAAATCGTGTTCATCAATGCGCAGGAGGTGGCTGGTCTTTACCTTCCGGCTTTTAGTTCCATCCACAACTTTCTTTGATAGAGGACTGATGACAAAAACCAGACAGAGAAAAAAAGGGGAACTAAAAGATAGGATTAAGAAGTAGTGAATGTTTGCTAAAAGCAAAAACTGTCAGGTGCCCATGACTCAAATCATTCTTACTCCTCATATTCGTCAGTAAATGATTCCTTCATATTGATCTTTCAATTTAGCAGTGGTGAACAACATCCACAATCCTCACTCATTGCAAAACACATACCACATTTTCTATGAACCCAACAGGCTGATGATTCACAGCTGAACATTTGGGCTTAATTAGAAGGAGACTGCTGTGTGACAAAATAAGTCAATAGTTCAGTTGTGTAACCAGCTTATTATTACTTATTACCTTTATGATTTAAAACTAAATGACCTCTGCCTACATGTGTGAGCTGAACCTGTCACCCTGGTTGCCTAGAAACCTCAAGTTCCTAATGTGATAATTTGTCTATACTAGGCCAAACCATCAGCTTTCCTAACTCTGACTAAAGAAAGGACAAAGAAAGTAAAGATGAAATCAAGAAGTAGTACCACACGAGACTCTAAAAGTCGTGTGCTGTTTACTAATGCGGACGTTGTCACCCTTAAACTAGAAAGACTGCTGTTGTTTTATTAATGGTCACAATGATAATTCTGTTAGGAACAAACAACCATTACACTATCCAAACAACAATAAATAAAATAAAATAATATCTAATATCTTTTCAAACTTTGCTTTTATGACCCGTAATTAATTTGCAAATATTTTTTCTTGAAATTTACAAATGTAATTGTGATTGAGTGTGATGAATACATTTATAATTATAATTATTATTATGGAAAGATTGTGGTCACAGTTAAAACCAAATGTGAACAATTAATTGCAACATTGGAATGTTGGGCATAAAAGACAAATGTGTTACACACCTGTCCTCCATCCTGGTCTCGGAGCCTGGCCTTACAATAACAACAGTGTCAGGTGTTCCAGCAAGTTCCCTATAAGACATATATTTATATTCAAATGAAAAATATTTAGGAACTATGTGCAAAAATAAAAGTCAACTAAATTAAATCACACAATATATTGCAAAGTTAAAAAATATAACACAATAAATCTAATACATATAAATAGCTCAGTTAATAAAGACATTTTACTCTTAAATCTTGTGGGAGGTGAGTTGTTGCAAGTTAAAGTCACACAGTTAAATGCAATGCAAAGGTTGATGGATGCACATTTCTGAATTTTGGTGACAAAATAACACACTATACTAAGTTGCTGTCACTTGTGGTATGAATGGATCAAAACACTCCTAGAGTACCCATAGCCTCACATTCTTAATAAAGTAGTTGAGTTTTCGTTCTGTCTCTCTAGATAAAAGGTACACTGCTTCGTTTTGCTGCAAAATACTCCATTTCAGTGAGTATTTTAGGGCACTCACCCAGAACATCAGGGTGCCTCATTGATAGGTTTTATTAATTTATGAACAACAATGCAGCTCTGTCGCACAGAGGAACGAAAGGGATTTTGGTATATACACTGCATGTTTGTCAAGACTGACACTGAATTGCTTTAGACATATGGAGAGGAGCGATGCTAGATATGTGTATAGGAAAAGATTGAATGGATGAGCTATTGTGGTGACCCTTATGAGTTGCAACCAACTCTATTTACATATAAAATGAAGGAAGAAAAGCAGTTAGCAAGTGTCCAAATAATTATGATCCACAAACACTGTAAGAGCCCAATTTGAGGTACAGCAGAAATAAAATTAAAAAACGAGTATTAAAATACCCTGAGAAACTACTGGATGGGCAAAAGGGACACAGGGGAGACACATAGCATGACGGTTTATGACACGACCAGGAACTGAGGGAAACTGGGGGATTAAGTACACATGTGACATAATTAACTGGAGCTGGAACACACAAGAAAACACGAGCTAAATCTGAGAAACAAGACTGAAACTAAGCTGAGCACAAGGCACACAAGACCAGAGACTGGTGGTAAAATAAGACAGGAAGTGCAGAATGTAGACTTGACATGTAAACAGCCAGAGAGAATGCTGATATACAAGAGGGATGCTTGGAAGGAAAAAACACAAAGATGTGATTAAGACAAACTGGACATGAGGGGGAACTAGCTGAGACTAGAAACTAGAAATATAAGTCAACTATGAACAATGGGGCATAATACTAAACATAGGGGAAGACTAAAAAATGAGAAGCTGGAAGGAAATCATAACATCAGAACTCAGAACTGAATCAAGAACACACACAAAAACTGGGGGAAACAGGAACCATGACACATGTGAAATCAGGAATAATCAGCAACAGATCAACAATGAAAAGGAAAACTGAATTATTACGGAAGAAACTAAAGGAAACGTGAGTCTGTAATCAGACGTTACACGATCAGCATCAGTAACTTGCACAGCTTGTTAGCCAAAGAGATTAAATCCAGGATATAGAGTCATGGAGTGCTCCTGGTAGAGAGCTGACAATCAGCGAACGATAGCAGCTAAATAACAGGCAGAATGATAATTCCTAAAATTCTTGCCCCCCACGGACCCGTTCCTGCTCCCTTCACAGAAGTCCTGATAACTAAAATAACATCTGTATAACACGCTGTATCTCCAAGCATGGTTTTCTTTGCTGTAGATGATTTCACGAAGCTCGAGGACAGCGGATTGCTGTTCTGTGGCTGCTTTTTACGCACGGTTTGGTTGCATAAACACACAATTAGTTACCATTCAAAAATGAACCGGACTGCAAATTGGTAAAATGTATTTAGCCACGGGGAATTTACACTTGAATGCTGTGATTCTATGTGTTCGTAGAAAGAAAGACTAAAGAGTTAAATATGCTGTTCAGTGCCACACTAATGTTTTAATATGATGGATGAACCACGAGTGAATTATCTAGACGTGCAAAAAGATTTACGTCACATTGCTGTTTCATTTCATTTGGGGTTTTTGTTGTTGTTGTTGTTTCTTTCTTTCTTTTTACTTTCAAATACAACGAAACAGAGAACTTACTTTGCTGGCTTATGAGTCCCGGCCGGTGCCGACCACCGTTTTTTCCTACTTCTGTGTTTCCGGCATTCCCCGATCAGACTCACACACAAAACTAGAAGCAGGACCCTGGTGTAACGCGGCATGATGAGTTAGAAGTCCAGCTGAGAGTCGATTAGCGACGTTTTCCTTCCACGCGCAGCACCCTCCGTGAGCCGTACCATGTTTCTGTCTAAAGCAGGAAGACAATCGAGCTTGAGAGTCTAGAGACTGTGGTGAAGGAGTGCGCCAGTTGCTTCGCAGAGAGAGACTGATGGTGAAGACTGAAAAGCGCTGTGATTGGTCATCAAACTCCAGAGGTGCTTTTCGTGGATAGGAGCGCGCAGCTTCAGGACCACATGTAGCGTCACATGAAATAATCAAATATATAAACAAGCACATAAACATAATGAACGCCTGACGAGCTGGGAGTGATCGTTGTATTAATATTACAAAAAAAAATAACAATGAAAAACAACATTTGCGAGCTACACTCCTTAGATCAATTCCAGTCAGCTGTATGTATGACTGTCCGGCATTTGCGATATCATTTTCAGTTTACAATAGGAGATATATACATTATAAAATCAGAGGTTTCGCCAAAATCCTCTACTGTCAGTCAGGACATGATTCTCTACAGTAAATTTCTTCCCAGATAATCTGACGTCAACTCAGCACCAAATTTTCGAGCAGTCTTTGTGGGTGTTGAGGACGATGTGCTCTTAAATGATTAGAATGCATTATCCTATCAAGTGTTTGGAGAAACAAACAGATGATGATTTTCTTTAAGCCCGCCCGGGTTCACTACTGCTGCTGCTACTGGCAAGAGTAGATTTTACAATTAGGCAATAAAAACAAGCACAGTAAAAATGGAGGCTGTCCTCCTTAAACAACTTTTGATGTTGTTCAAATGTGAAAAAGAAAAGCCTACAAAAGTCCATGATAGCAGGAGTTGGACCCAAAAACACATTGAATAAAATCAGGATAGTACAGCTGTTTATTCTAACATTGGTATCTGTATTTTTAATTTTCATATGTTGACAGAAATTTGAACACAGTCTCTGTAATTACTTTTACATCTTTATATGACAAGGTTTGATAAGGTTGTATGAAGGCTCGAGGAAGGGGATGCAACACTGTGAAAGAAATACTGTATGTAATACTGAAAGAAATGATTCAACACTGGACATCTCTCGGGCAAAGAGAGCCGAGTTTGCAGTATACCATTGTGGAAGAAGCTTCTCCGATGAGAGGTGAAACGTGCGGTCGCTTTTCTTTCCAAGCTCCTTAGACTACGATGACCTGGATGACCGAGAACCGTCACAGACACAGTGTTGAACATAGAGGAGTTCAATTTACCCTTTTGTAATTCCTTACCTTAACACCAAGCGTTTCATATTTTATACATGACTTTGGCATCCTCAGTGTGATTTTTTCCCCTTAAAAATAAAAATAAAAATTGCACTCTAGCTCAGGGGGCGACCACGTGCCATATGGATGAGAGCGGCCGGTCCCGGTTCAAGTCCGACCCTTTGCCGCATGTCTTCCCCTTCTCTCTCTGTCGTTTCTTCCCTGTGTCTATCAAATAAAGCTGAAAAAAAAAAGTAAATTTTCTGAAAGTAATCATGGCCTGTCATTTCTCTTTACTTAGCTGATTGGTTCTTTCTGATTTTAATCTATAACATACTTTGACCATCATCATGGCATGCATCATAGCTTCACTACAAAAACAGCATCAATTCAATGTCTTTAGAAGACTAAAAACTAGATATCTGATATGTCCTTTGATCATTCACTGTGGAAAACTTCAAAAAGTGGATATTGGGTGAGCTTTTAAAAGGTCGTATCGCCATGTGGGTGGCTTTACTGTACACTTTGATAGTCATCTGGCTTTAATTTTTTCTGTGTAAAAATAATGTTCATAAAATAATGCCATTTTAATTCTTAAATGTAGGGTATAGCTATCGAATGAAAAAACAAACTTGGTGTTGACGTGTTTTGAATGAAGCATTTAGACACGTTGCATTGATCGAACAACTTTTTTGTCCTGAAGGCCCTGATTCGTTTTTAATCAAAACCTTGCAATTTGAGCATGAAGAGCCTGAAAAGCAAGATAATATGCCCAAAGGAAACTGTAACAAGTTTAACAGGCAGTGAAACAATGAGAGAGCATCTATTGATTGTCACACATTCTGGGATCCAGGCCCTGCACACAACTGCAAGAGGTCAACTTGATCATCAGAGTTTGACTTGATGCATGCTCGATCATTCAGGTAAGAAAATCCCAAAAGGTTGATTCTGTTGAATCTGTTGATTCTTCAGTCTCAGCTACTGCAGGTTTCCCCAACCTTATGAAGAGTACATTTGCACAATAACTGAAACTAGCCCCCTGATGAACAATGGGCTGTGAGGGGCTAAATAAGGTATTAAATAAGGATAAGACAGAATAAAACTTGGCACATGGCAAACACATTCCTTCATCTGAAATTGATTTATTTTCGGTTTATATCCAAGTACACGAGCTATGGGAATAAAGACAGAAGAGACTGTCATAAAGAAATTCTGACAAAATGCACACTGATAAAAAAAATAAATAAAATCTTGAATGTCTACATGTAATACCTGGACATATGCAGGTATCCAATGCTGCTTGAAGAAGAAAAAGACTACAGAGGCAAATTTGTTCCTGTAGACTGTTGCAACTTCCTTTGACCTATCTGTATGCAGCCAAGACGTTCTACGTATCAGAAAGCTGTCACCTTTGATGTGCAAAGAATACATTTAAATTGCTTCCATGTTCCTCTGAGTCTCACGAGACTGATAAAATTCTAAATCTAAGTTGAATCAAAAAGGGTAAATACTAAATGCTTGAGACAGTTTCTGAGTCTAAAAACTGGGAAAAATAACTTCAGAGAATGCAAGGCAAACAAAAAATGAATGCAAAGACATGTGCTATGAACACCATGAAACAGCTGGGGTGACAGAAGTACCGAAAGAGGAAAGATACTGAAACAAATGGAATTACAAATCCACAGAAAAGCGAGTTTGTGTTGGAAACAAAGTGTGATGTTGGTGTGATAGGTGAAGAGTCCAGGCAGTTATACTTGTGTTGGAAGTAAGCACTTGGTTGCACGTTTGGCAGACGTTTATGAAGACACTGTCTTGTTTGAGCAAGTAATCCTTAAAATGACATCACCAATAAACATTGCTATGGTAATAAGATTAACAAAGCTGTCTACCCTGATCATGTTCTTCAGTAAACATGCATTTAGCTGATACTGGATCAGTCACACAGGATTACTAGGAAGCTTTACACTCCAGGCTCTATTTTGGTGGCAGCACAACATATAACAAATGCTTCAGCACAAAGCAGGTAGTGTTCTGATGGAAATGTGTCTTAAATGTTTCTGTGTACAAGACATTAGACACTTCAGCCACTAAAAGACCTTTGACCCCATAACATCTAGTATATCATATTTCCCAGGTTGTTCAACAAATTTTCGGACAATTCTTTTAGGCTTTAAAGGGTTAAAGTTTAGAGGAAAAGAAAGCATAATCCTAAACCTCACTTTGAAAGAATTCATCAATTTTTAACCCCATTTCCAAAAAAGTAACAATTAATTTAAACCCTATATTTAAATGAAAATAGTACAAAGACAACATCCAATGATGACAGTGAAGAAACATAACACTCGAGGCTTTTACTATGGAGCTATAGTGCTATGACAACTTGGGAAGAATATGGTTTACCATTGTTGTGCTGAATAATTAATGTTGTGATTGACTTAAAATACTTACTGAAAGCAAGTGTTGCTAATTTCTACACATGCCTTCACCAATTCTGGTGCACGTTACCAAAATCCTGTGCACTAGTGTGCAATACAAGCACAAGTTCCTCTGCCTTTAGCCTTTAGTTATATACCTGAACTTTTACTGCCGATATCCTTTCTAATATTTACTATTTGGTTGTTTTGTTTAGTATTTTCTTGCTGGAATATGCAGTACCTTAGCTAAGGGTTATCATCTTATCAGTAGCACAAGTTGCTAACAAAATCTTTAGATGCACTGATAATTCAGTATTAATTGGATCTTCACAGACAACTTTGTATAAGATGAGTATAAATTTATTGTATTTGGGGGAAATCAAGAAAAAAATCTCAGTTTAAACATTTTAAATACTCTTTTTGTATTCTTTTCAAATAAATACACAGACAAAAATGACAGTGATTATAGCACAGGATATCGGTACAGGTATCAGTAAAAGACACTATACCTATAAAGGAATAGACTGCGTTATAGTCCACTCTTTTTAACATAAAAAGCTCTGTTGTACTGTATTTAGATTAATTTATGAAATTTAGTTTTTTAATATTTGTCTTGGTCCTTGTTTGAACTACTGATGTTTTACAGTGTACGGAAAGCTTCTACATCAGTCTATTAAATCCCCACAGTCACCTAAAAGTAGCAGGACACACGGTGATGCAGCTGCAGCTTCTGCTATTCAGATTGGTCTGAATGCCCCCGTGCAATTAAAACAATTGTCCACATTAACTTTGTGCTTGTTGTTAGCCTTAAACCATTAAAACAGAGCCCTGTGCACTGTGACCAAGCTGACCTTGCAGGAAGATAAAACACATGATAAAGTCATAATAGCACATGTAATTTGTGCAGATGCTTTCTTGATCAAATAATTAGTATGAGACGACAACTGCCCCTGATCCTATGTTGTTGTCATTTTACGTTACTCTGTTATTTCAATATTGGAAACAGTCAGCAGCTGTAAGACAATTTCTATGGAAGGGGGACATGTGTGTGTGTGTGTGGTTTAACAGGTCACAAACAATGAAGTTTCCCATTCACAAAAATTCAAGATGCTCTGGAAAGTAAAATTCACATTAAATTAAAGACACCCTGGAGGTGTTCTAGCGATTAGAGGAATGAAAGTTCCCCCTAAGTGGAGGCTGAACCCTCTGTGGACAGGCAGGGAGGACAGCTGTAGTCACTGTTAGCCACTGCCTCACCTCTGGTTCTGCTTTAGCTAATTAAAGTTCTGTGGAGTTGGTAGTACGAGCGGTTGACTCAGGAGGAAGGTCACAAATCATAGTCAAACTTGTACTCATGTGCAAGGTAGATCCTGCGGAAGATGAGTGCAGCCAAAGCCAGAGTGAGCACCACAATGAGAACTGCAGAGCCTGTGTGGCTTTCATCCTGAGGCTGATGAATTGGTGTGAAAACTGCTCTGCTGGCTGCTGACTCTCTTTGGGTCTGTTGGGCGCGACGTTGCCTGGGGCTGAGAGGACGATCGGAACTTGTGGAGGTTGTAGGTGTCTGAAGTGCTTCCGCTCTTGTGGACTGAGAAGCCTCTACCTGTGGAAGAGGATCTCAGTGTAAGCATCACTAAGACAAGGACATTAGTCATCTCATTAGTTACATTTCTGGCTGTTTGGCTGTTTCCTCAGTAAATGTCTGAAACTCACTTATTTTATAGACTTTTTCTACTAAGCTTTTAAGCTTTTGTTCTTCTGTCTTTAAAATGCGTTGAACCACTTTTAGGAGCTAAATTTTGCCTGTCCTTTAGGTCAAGCAGCTTTGGTCGGTCGCAGCAGCAGACTACAATGTTAAAAATGAATGTTTGAAATAACACACTAAGGACAGTACAGTGACACAGCAGTTAGCACTATCGCCTCACAGCAAGAAGGGTTTGAATGGGTTGAAATACACTGGCCACGGGCTTTTTCTCTGAGACATGCAGTCAATAGGGTGAATCTAAATTGCCAATAGGTGTGAATGTGAGTGCGAATGGTTGTCTGTCTTTCTGCGTTGGCCTTGACAAAGACTGGTGACCTGGTTGATCTGTTCCGTCCTTCATCCTGTCTTCTTTCTCTCACCTCAACCGGTCGCGGCAGATGGCCCCGCCCCTCCCTGAGCCTGGTTCTGTCGGAGGTTTCTTCCTGTTAAAAGGGAGTTTTTCCTTCCCACTGTCGCCAAAGTGCTTGCTCATAGGGGGTCATCTGATTGTTGGGTTTCTCTCTGTATGTATTATTATAGGGTCTACCTTACAATATAAAGCACATCGAGGTGACTGTAGTTGTGATGGGCACTGTATAAATTTACAAGGAGCTTTTAAAATGCTTTCCAGTTAGGGACATGGGAGAGTGCACAGTAGACACCTACACATGTATGCACCTAAACACACACAAATATGACAAAGACCAAAGCAGAAATGTTATTAGTTTACACAGAACTAAAGCAGCTTTAGGTGTGCTGTAATTTCCTGTTAATAACCTAGTGACTTTAATCGCCAAGTTGCTTTATTTTGTACGCACACTTTTTAAGACAGCCAATCACACAGGACAGCAGATGCCATTAAAACGGATTCATGCTGATTATATCAGACAAGGACATCATCACGAAATGTGAACAGCAGGACAGCTTGGACATGACTGCTGCTTAAATTAATTTATGAGCTTCAAGCTGATTACTGCTATATAGAATTCAGCTGTCTAGCAGGAAAAAAAATTAAACTGAGAACAATAACATCTAGAGTTTGGCTACGATGAACACAAAAAATTATCTTCTATTATGATAAACTAAATATGTGCTGATATTATAAATTTGTAAAGGAAAAAAATTAACAGCATTTTGAAGCAAATCTTAGGTTGTATTGAGTAGAATTGTAGTAGATCAATATACACTAACAGAAAAGTTTTAGAACACGCCAATTTTTTAATTTTGTATTGACAATTACGCAGTTTTAGTGTCTCATTGCACACTGAAATGAAAACATAGTACAAATAAGCAATTAGAGTTAAATAAGAAATCATGGAATCAATTTATAGACCAAAATGTATTGTAAACTTTTGACTCATCAAAGTAGTCCCCTTTGGAAGATATAAGAGCTGAACACACCTGTGGCATTAATATTCTTCACAAAGTTCTTCTCATATCTGTTGCTGAAGTTCCCATAAATGTGCGGCACTTGTGGGTTACTTTGCTTTCACTGTTCTGTCCAGTTCATCCCAAACCAGGGTTTAAGTCTGGAGACTATGCTGGCTACTCCGTGTTTTTAAGCTTACCATCTTGTTCTTGTTTACTGAGGTAGGTCTGACATAGCTTGGACTTATATTTTGGGTCCTTGTCTTGCTGTAGGATGGAATCCTGATCAACTAGGCACATACCAGAGGGTATTACATGGCGCTGCAGAACGCAGTGGTAGCTGTTTTGGTTCAGGGTGCCTCTCACTCTGAATAAATCACCAACCCTGGATCAAGCAAAACAGCCCCAGACATCACACTTCCTCCTCCATGCTGAAACTACATGGTTTAGCAAAAAGGAAATTTTGAAGCGTAATCCTACATTAGAGATAGTGTGTCTCCTGAATCCAAACTGGAAGCTGGTTCCATAGAAGACAGGCCTGAAAACTGAAGGCTCTCCCTCCCATTCTACTTTCAAATACTGTAGGCACAACAAGTAAGCCTGCAGTGTGAGGGCCAAGTGCTCTAGTGGGGTGATATAGTGCTATAAAGGTCATTTAGATAAGATGAGGCCTGATTATTTAAGACCTTGTATGTGAGGAGCAGGATTTTGAATTCAATTCTGGATTTAACAGGGAGCCAATGAAGGGAAGCCAAAACAGGAGAAATATGCTCTCTCTTTCTAGTCCCTGTCAGGACTCTTGCTGCAGCATTTTGGATTAACTGAAGGCGTTCCAGGGAGTTTTTGGACATCCTGATAATAATGAATTACAGTCGTCCAGCCTGGAAGTAATAAATGCATCAGCTAGTTTTTCAGCGTCACTCTGAGACAGGACATTTCTAATTTTAGAGATCTTGCACAAATGGAAGAAAGCAGTCTTACATATTTGTTTAATATGTGCGTTGAAGGACATATTGTAGTCAAAAATCACTCCAAGATTGCTCACAGTGGGCTACTTTCAGTCATTGTTCAAAGGTACTGTAAGGTTGGGGAAACCTGCAGTCAGCTGAGACTGAAGAAGTAAGGAAGGAGTAATTCCCTGAGTTAACTCAGAAAGATCAATTGGAGAAAAAGACTCTAAATGAATATCAATGGTACTGAAAGTAGTTGTACATAATGTTATCTCTGTGAGATTAATATGAGTCCTTTTTTCTCTAATGGTTAAAATTTTATTTGTGAAGAAGTTCATGAAGTCATTACTAGTTAACGTTAAAGGAATGGTTGATTCAACAGAGCTCTGACTTTTTGACAGCCTGGCTACAGTGCTGAAGAGAAACCTGGGGTTGTTCTTATTTTCTTCAATCAGTGACGAATAGTAAGATGTTCTAGCTTTACGGAGGGCTTTCTTATAAAGCAACAAACTATTTCTCCAGGCTAAATGATGATCTGCCAGATTTGTGACACGCCATTTCCTCTCCAGCCTACAAGTCATCACCTTTAAGGTGCGCGTTAGAGAGTTATACCAGAGAGTTGAAAGTAGTTTTAATTTGAGGCTCTCTTTTTCACAGGAGCTACAGTATCCAGAGTCATATGCAGTGAAGAAATAAAATTATTAACAAGATAATCGACCTCTGTTGGACTAACGTTCAAGTAACCGCGCTGCACATGTCATTGTAGAAGACAGTGGATGAATTTATCCCCACTGCTGTGTAATAGGGCTGCTCGATTATGGCAAAAATGATAATCACGATTATTTTCACTGAAATTGAGATCTCGATTATTTGACGATATTTATTTAACCCTTTAAGACCTACTATAGAACCAAGTCCGCCAGAGCTTATATTTTTTTTTACATGTTGTAGTGCCATTTGTGGGAGCATTTCAAGTTGCTATACATCAATACAACTGTTATAGCCCATATTTTAATAATATGTATGCATTAAGTCCATAGTAATTACATAAATTGCAAAAAATGCAATAAACTACAAAAAATTGAAAATCATTTTTTTTTTTACATATATTTCTACTTGGAGAAATTTAAGAGGTTTGTCCCTCAAAACTTTAAATGCAAAAAATAGTTTACAACAACAGGAAATTTATTTTGAGTGTCTTCATAGTTTTATTTTGGAGATAAGCAATTTTTATATACTGCAGGAAAAACAAAAAAACAATCCTATGATGCAAATTTGCAAAGAAAACAGCATGTGCATCAAAATAAACTATTTCCAGCAGTGCAATTCTGAGTTCTAAGCATCCCAGAAACTATTCAGAAAAGTCAAACATGACTTATAAAAACACCAGTATAGGCTTTTAAGGCCTACAAGTAAAAAACTACATTTTCCGCGAAAATGACGTCACTTCCGGTTTCGGGCAAAATGGCGGAATGCGATAGTTCGCTGATCTATTTCAATGTGGGAAGTGTTACGAACAGCTGATCGGATCGGCAAAGCTGTTTCTGGAATATTATGTTTTTGTTCCTGCAAGCGCTTTTTATGCAATTTTTGCAAAGCTATGTGGAAGGAAACCGTGACCTAGGACAAGCTGATGGCATAAGATGTAAGTACAACTCCTCCGGTTTCATATGCAAAACAAATTATTGCGCTAGCTTACGCGGTTCAGGTTCTACAGGGATTTAAAAATAGTTACACAAAACGGAGCGTGCTGCTCTGACCGGCTTTAAAGGGTTAACAATAACAATGTATTGAATAATGACTTTAAAAAATAATATAAAATAGTGTGCAAATACTGATAACAGTGCAAATGTTTGCAATATAAGAAATAAATGAAAAATGTAAACATCTATGTTTAGTGAACTTTGCAGTGTTGCTCTGTGGTGCAGCTACGACACCGTAGCAAAGTTTACACACTTGTCTACTTGATCCACGTCTGACTCCGCGAACCCATAATGTTTCCACACCACTGAAGTTTTTTTTACCTCTTTTTCAACCAACGGCAGTCACTCTCCTCTCCAAATAACTTCTGCTTAGCTTTCTGAGCTTCCCTCGGGTCCTCTTAATTGTTGTGACGCGTGTTCGAAACAAGAGGTGCGCTCGTTTTGCCACACGGAACAGCGCAAGAGTAAAGCACGAGGGAGGTGCTAATAATCGGCTCAGTCACTTTTAATGATCGTTGAAAGCCCAGATTGTAATCGTGATTAAAATTCGATTAATTGAGCAGCTCTACTGTGTAATACATTATTATAAATTAAAATGTTATTAGGAAAAAAAAATCAGACAAAAGGTTTTCAGGAAATGTTATTAAATACTCAGTTTCTCTGCTATATATCATAAAAAGATCTAGAAGTGTGATTAAAGTGGAGAGTGGGTTCTTCTACATTTTGATAAAAGCCAATTGAGTCTAATAATAGAATAAATGTTTTTAGCATCTACATGAATGTTAAAATCACCAACAGTAATTATTTTATCTGAGACGAGCACTAAATCAGATAACAAGTCTGAGAAATCAGACAGAAACTGTGTAAGGCCCAGGTGGACGATAGATGATCACAAATAAAACTGGTTTTCAACAGGCCTTCAAATATATTAAAACTCTGAGTCTGATTAATAAGCTGGAGTGCCGCCACACCGCCTCCTCAGCCTGTGCTTCGAAGATTCAGAAAATTAGTATAACTCGTGGTTCATTTAAACTAACATAAACCTCCTCGTCTAACCAGGTTTCTGTAAAGCAGAAAAAAATCAATTTGTTATTAAATTTTTAATTAATGTACTAATTAATGGCCTGTTTAATAATCCACATTTTTGCTTCGGTCTTTGCTTGAGTCGTGGATACCATGTTGTTCTTTTTTTGTGATTTTTTTTATGTTTAAATAGTTTTTTTGCATTTTTTTGTCTGGATGCATTGATGATGATCATTTATCATCATCAGCAGCATAGAGGCAGTGTGGAATGCCAGCCTGTCTGATTCTGCAGTTTTAACCCCCCCCCCCCCCCCCCAATTCTAGCAGCAGATGGTGAGTACTATTTTTGATATGTCCCTCCTTAGTTTATCCTAACGCAGCAGCACTGATCTAAGTTGACCCTCCACAGTACTCCTTCACACTCAGTCTCTGTGCTTCTGTGGCTAGCAGCTGGCACCAAAATCAATCCTCTTAGGCAACAAAGCTCACCCATATCACAACTTATGAAGAGAAGCCATGGTATCACAGGCTTTAAGCTACCATGACACATCTTCTACAATGTTAAACACGAGTGTCTAAAATGACACACTGGATGGACAGTACAGTGACACAGTGATTAGCACTATAACCTCACAGCAAGAAGTGTTTGAATGGGTTGAAGTTCACTATCTGGCCACGGGCCTTTTCTCAGAGACATGCAGTTAATGGGGAGAATCTAAATTACCTATAGGTGTGAATGTGAGTGCGCTGTCTTTCTGTGTTGGTCTTGACACAGACTGGTGATCTATTCAGGGTGGTACCCTGCCTCTCACCTTATAACAGCTGGGACAGCCCCTCCACAATGGATAAGTGGAATATGGATGAATTGCATGGCTAGATTACGTGAAAAACATGAATTATAACCTGACAGCTTTATGTGCTGTTTTACGTAAATGTTAAAAATGGACTGGACTAAATACAAAAGTTGTTCTTGCAAACATTTGACAATACTTTTAATTATGAAACATGAGAATACATTTTAGCCGAAACTGAATTTTAAACTGACATTTTTTTTTCAACTATACGATACTACTACTCTATATCAAATGTTTATATATATTATATTATTCTATATGTGATATGACATACTGGGAGAGATGGCACTGTTTTGTGCTGATGCCACAACCTGTGCTAATAGTGCAAATTATAGACAAAATGTATTTATTAAAACTATGACTTAAAATTTTGTACTTCCTTGGATAAACAACTGCTCCAGAACACACATGAAAGTTAGCAAATGAATGTAATGCAAAAAATAAATTAAAATGTGGTACTTGCAGCCAGTTTTATGCCGAAAATCTACTTTGTTATGTGTTCAATATAAGTTACAATGGAGTTTTACTCAGGTTAAAAGAATGATACCCTCTGTACAATCCCTATGGTAAATTGTTGTTTCACCTTCAAAGACTCCCAGTCATGGCAGTTTTTGGAATCACCTGCCAACAGTTATGGAAGATTGTGGGATCATAATGTAAAGCAATTTAAAGGGTGAAAAAGTCTTCAAAGGGAGTAAGACACTGGACACTGGTTAAACAAATCTCTTCATTTGGGCAGAGTGAGGCTGAAACTCATGTGAAGAAAACAAATCATCATTGTTTTATTTTTAGCAAGCACATGTCTGTGCTTGTCTGGTGGGAGGAATTAACAACAGGGAGAAGAGACAATTCAGAGGACTCAACTCTGTAAACATCTGGTTTCCTAGCCGACTTTATGCATGTATCATGCATGCAGAATAAAATAAAACAAAACCACTGGGATGGATAACTCTGTAGGTGGTGAGCTGGCTGCAGGTTATGTGCTGTCTTGTGTAAAACAAGAGTGGTAAAAAAAATAAAAAAATACCTACCTGTTCGGCCTGGTCTTTTTCAGCTTCTTGGCTTGCAGAGGAGGGTCCCTGGGTGTGGGTTGAAGGTTCACTTTCTCCTCCTTCATTCTCACTAGATTCTCTGGATAAACTGGACTCTGCCTGCATAAACACAGTCAATTTATGTAATCTACACCATGCCTTGCGTTTTGTAATGGGGCCAGACCTCAAATCTATATATTCATCCTACATTCTTCCAGTAGTGGATTTTTAAAGGTCAAGCTCATATTTAATTTTAATTCTCATCCTGCATAGTTCTCAAACAAAAGAAATGTAAAAATAAGGGGCATGCCTATTGCGCTACTGCAAAACATTGGTGAGAACTATCTTAATAGGTATTTGCTAAATTATGCACTGACTTTATAATCTTTGTAGTGGGATTATGTTAGCTTCCATTCCAATGTTCAATAATGAACGGTTAACACAATGAACAGTGCTTTTGGCCCATCTGCTCTGTGGTTCTAATAAATAAAGGCTCTGGATACAATCTGTGGAGTTCCAGTATTCTCAATATAATTATGGAAAGTTGTGATACGAGTTAAACAATTATTATCAAAATCAGCTTTGTTATGAATTGTCATGCACAGAGAAAATATAAAACAAAAGAACTATGAATTTAACCCGCCTCATGTAACAGCCAGAGTTTGTACCTTAAAGTTGATTTGCTGAGCCAGTTCTTTAGCCGTATGGTCTTCAGCACCAGGGTTGCTATTGGGGGTTAGATCCAGGAGGGCAGAGCGCATGGTACAGCCACAGGTCTCACAGCAGAAGTCCTGGGACCTGTCAGAGAACAGGTGGCATGTGGTGATGTCATCTTGCCACAAGGACTTGTTTGAGTTTCACACTTGGAACCTTCTAGATAATGATCGTGAATAAAATTGAATTCACTCCATGACTGATCAACCTACTACAGCAGGAACTCAAAACGGTACTCTCTATGGGACCTACATGCCGATACACATGCCCTATGAAATCAAGGTATGCTCCTAATGAGATCACGGGTGGTGTCCTGGGGGATCTCCTCCCAGATCTGGACCAGGGCATAACTGAGCTCCTGGATGGTCTCAGGTGCAACGCGGCAACTTCAGATGGACAACAAAATAATGCCCCAGAGGTGTTCTGTTTGATTTAGGTCACACAAGCATGGGGAAGAGTGAATAGTATCAATTCCTGGAATAACCATTTTTGCCAAATGAGGCTGGGGATTGAATCCTCTGGATAAACCCAGGACCCATCCAAGGATTTCATCCCGATACCAGCAGCAGTCAGGGCGCTGTTGTCTAGCCTGTGGAAGTCTGTGACCACTGACTCACTACTGTATGGGTCATGGTAGTTAGGGGCAGCTCAGCACGCCTCAAATCAGACAGTTACTAGAACATTGTCTGCTCAACCATTTCCAATTTGCATAAAAATGTTTGGCTCAAAGTTTGGACATATATAATGCATGTTGGGAAAGTTTAGCTTCATAGATAATTCAAGATATATCTTGTTTTTGGGAAAATGGCCCACTTTTAAACAATTTTTTTACCTATTGAAATCACATTGCAATGTTAAACATGAATATATAAAAAATAAAGGCCTGAAATTTTCACTGGTGTTTCTTACCACCAAAATGAATCAGGTGTGTAATTTTCGATAGATGCATTAAAAATTGTCTCAATATTGGCTCGTAAACATATGAAAAGAAGCCCAATGCTCCTGCTGGACTATCTGAGGACACACTAATATAAGAAAAGGCAAAAAACCCCAAAACAACTGGCGGCAATTTCTAAATAAACACAGTTCACAATATTGCAAGATAAAACATGTAGAATCATTTTTACCATGAAATTCCTAGTCACACAAATTAAGAAAATGCCATTTAACTTTCAAGCTGGCTGTAGCAAATATGACAAGTTGTACCACAAAAACAAAAACAGTTTAAAACCTGAGTCACTACATCTGAAATCACTAAAGTTTTAGAACATTTTCTGTTAAACCATCTTCAATTTGCCTAAAATTGTTGTCATCCAAGGTTTGGATATACAGGGTGGGCCATTTATATGGATACACCATAATAAAATGGGAATGGTTGGTAATACGTTGAAACCAAGCACACCATTGTTTTTCTTGTGACATTATCAATAAGTTTGATGTGTCACATGGCCCTCTTCCTATTGAAAAAACAAAATTTTGTATCCAAGATGGCCGACTTCTAAATGGCCAGCATGGTCACCACCCATCTTGAGGAGTTTGCCCCCTCACATATACTAATGTGCCACAAACAGGACTTTAATATCACCAACCATTCCCATGTTATTACGGTGTATCCATATAAATGGCCCACCCTGTATAATGGCTGCTATAAAATGTTCAAGCTTCAAATATCAAATACTTACTCATATTTTTTTCTTACATAGTTTACCAATACACAGCTATTTTTGATGTTTCTCTCCCATATTATAGATTCGTCCATTTTGACTAAAACTTTAGGCTGAGATATTCATGTTCAAATCTAGTGCTAGAAATTCAAACAGGCTTGAACCAAAGAACCAAAGAGTCCAGAACAGGATTAAAAATGTTATTCCATTAAAAAAAAAAAAAAAAAAAATCCCCGTCAAAACTTTATTGGAAGAATAAAACTTACATTCAACTTTCAACTTTACAAAAAACAAAATCCCATGGCAGCCTCAAGTCTCTGAACACAGAACAATCAACTCAAAAAACTAAGTAGCTCAATTACTCCCAACTCATGTTGGTTATACACAGAACAAGCATTAAGCTGAGACATACTTTTATTAGACAGCCAACCTATTAAGAAACACCAATGCTTTTGTAATTCTTCAGCGCTTCAAATTTCTGACCGTGAAGCTTCCCCAACTTTACGGTCACATTAAATTTAAGAACTTCAAATTTCTCCAGAATTTCAGCCCTGACCGTTGAGTTTCTTAAGAACTTTCAAATAAAAGTGACTACATTATCAGAACGACATTATCAGCTTTTTACAGCTAAGGGGGGACAAACACAACAACAACAACAACAAAATCTGCCACTGACATCCCAAAAAGAAAAGTAAAAAACTGCCCCACAAAAAATACAACAAAAGGCAGAATTATGTTGGTGAATCTTGAGATGAATATGAGCAAAAAGCTGTGTATAGTTATACAGCCAGTGAGCAGCGTTTGGTACAAAGACATAGATTCAGATTTGTTGGATGATGGTCAGAGAACTTGCTGTTCTCAACATGAACAAAGCAAGAGAAACCAGAACCCTCACAGCAGCATATGCAGTGTGGCTCTTTGATGTATGTGCCAAAGAAAAATGTAACACCATGTGGTGCTTCGCCCATTCGGTACCAATTACAGTATACAGTTCTAAAGACTTTTACATTGAGCTGCCCATACTTTTTAGGGCTGTGTATCAATTCCCATCATCCCATACAAACAGACAAAACTCTGCTTCAAACATCAGTACTGTGACTGCAAGTGTGTTTGTAACAGTGACTTTCTATATCGTGTTGACTGCCACAGTGTGTATTGTCAGCTGTAATTTTTTTTAACATTGACATGCCCCTGTTAAGAGCTTAGAATACTGTGTGCACCTTTAGGCCAACATCTCAGCCCTGACAGCAAGGTTTGGTGTGATATTACTAGGAACACGATCAACAGAGACGCTTAATGCAGTGGAAAAAACATGAGCAGTACAGAAAAAGATGTTTCAGTGGATTTCATTGGATTGTGTTAGAATAGCTAATCATCCCTAGAAGCAACTAATGGCCTCATATTACAGCTGTGAAGTTGTGGAATGACTCATGCTCTCAGGAACAGCACATTATCACTGTAAAGCTCCTCAAGCAAAAGGTGGCATAGATAAATTTGGATACATTATGTATTAAATGATCCAAATCAGAGTCTTCCTCTGGAAAAAAGTGGTAATTAGATTCTATTCAAGTCAAGTTTAGACGTACAAAGAAAAAGCTTGGCTTATTCGGCATGAGGAATTTTGCACAGCATGTCGAATGTTCTTTTTTGGCCTCCAGTCTTCGCATAACTGGACTATGACATGGTAAATGGGAAGCCTGTGTCTCCAAAAGCAGGGACCACATAGGCACAGTGGTTGGTTGATAGTTTTTCACAAAAACTACAGTTGGAACCCTTTCAGACATAAATCAAGAACACATATGTCGGCTCACAGAGCTGGAAGAGCTTATTTGTAAATTCCAAGACATATACTGAAAGAATAGCAGCAGTTACGTCTGCTACTGGCTTACAAGCGTTGTTTGTCTGTTTGTCAGCAAGCAAGTGTTCACAGTTTTCAAGATATAATTTTCTTATTTTTCATTCAATTCAGTTTTACTTATTTAGCACCAGACTGCAACAGTTGTCTCAAGGTGCTTTATATTGCAAGGCGAAGATCCTGCAATAATAAAGAGAAAACAGAAAAAACAACAACAATGAAATGATCCCGTATGAGCAAGCGCTTTGGCCACAGGGGGAAGGAAAAAATTCTTTTTAACAGGAAGAAACCTCCAGCAGAACCAGGCTCAGGGAGGGGCGGCCATCTGCAATGACCGGTTGGGATTAAGGGGCGGAAGACAGGATAAAGACATTCTCTGGTAGTGAGCCACATATTAATAATAAGTAATAATTAAATGCAGAGAGGTGTATAAAAACACAGTGAGTGAAAAAAGGTTACTGAAGAAGAAACACTCCGTGCAGAGACAGTCCAGTCATCTGATAGGTGAGTCACAGCCCTGTTTAGCCTCCCAGCTCGATCAGTTCTTAAAAATGGTTCCCATCCTCTATGGGGTGAATTTCAGCGTCTTTCCTTGGACAGAGGTTTCTAGTTCCAAGATGCAGGACAAAGCGTTATAAAAACACCTTTGTCCCTGTTGTTGTCACCGAACTCAATAAGAATGGTTTTGATTTGATTCATTTGATTTAATTACAAAAAATGTGCATTTGTCAGGTTTTATTAGGTGTGTGTGTTTTGTGAAGGGATGCCAAATGCTATTAATTTTCTGTAAAGCAAATTTCCCTATGGGTATAAATAAAGTAACCTTAACCTTGGGTCACCTAATCCAGCCCTAACTATATGCTGTAGCAAAAAGGAAAGTTTGAAGCCTAATCTTAAAAGTAGAGATAGTGTCTGGGGTGATATGGTACTATAAGGTCTTTAAGATAAGATGGGGCCTGATTATTTAAGACCTTGTATGTGAGGAGCAGGATTTTTAGTTTTAACAGAGGATTTAACAGGGAGCCAATATAGAATAAATATGCTCTCTCTTGCTAGTCCCTGTCAGTACTCGCTGCAGTATTTTGGATTAACTGAAAGCTTTTCAGGGAGTTTTTATGGCGTTATTTTTGTGCCACTATTCTGAGCGCACGTAAAAAAAGTTTGCAGGTGCAAGTGTTGCATTTTAAGGAGAAATTTATTTTGAGCGAAGAAAAGCTAAATTTGAGTGAACAAAATTCATTGCTGCGTGCAAAAAATGTATTTCAGTGTTTGCTATTATCCACACATACAATAGCAGCCCCTCTCACTCAGTTTTTGCACTTGCGCTTGCTCGCAATGTGTTGCTTGCGCTCTCAACATTTCTGCCTGTGCACG